CGGTATAGTATGGCTTTGTTAGCAGTGCTGTTCGGATGCAAACAGCTTTCTAACCAAGGCCATCTCGTTGGTAAATGCTGCGAAAAAGTGTTTCGGAACGCGAGGTCAGCACGCATCGGACAGTACTCGCTCTGTCGACACGCAAATTGGTGTAAAGCAAGCTCAGGTGAGTTCTAAAACAGCTGACTCACACCGACCAAAGGAGAAAAAACAGTCTTCAAAGAGGTCTGTCTTAACTAAAAACTCAAGAAAAGAAGTTTCTTCTGTCCGCCATTTTCTAAATGATATCCAGCAGAAAACGCCTAGAAGCCGCAGTCGCAAGGCTCGATCGGTTTCTAGCGGGAAAAATAACCTGACCTCAAAAGTCTTAGAAAATCGTCCAGCATCCCATAGTATGTTTGACGCGACTGTGATTGCTTCTGCAAGCAACGTCGACGAATGGGTGCAGGTTGTAAGGAAGAAATAACATAATGATATAAAAGGGAATCCTGCCCCCATGAAAGTAGTCGAGAAATCGAAGGCTGATCACAAAGACAGATCAATTATTTTTCACAGAATCATAAAGAGTGAAATTTTCAAAATGAGTTCTCGGTTTGGAGCTGACATTGTGTTGATAAAACAGCTACTTAATCAACTTAGACTTCAAAATATCTCCGGAGTCACCTTGGTATAGGTGTATAGACTAGGTAGTCTAGCGAACTTGAAGCCAAATCAATACAGACTGCTTAAAGTAGTATTCAACTCTTCGAATGAACGTGACCTAATTTTACTGAATGGACACAAATTAAAGGGTTCGGGAGTTTTTATTCGTAAGGACTTGCCGTTGGTAGACCGCGTAATAAGACGGGAAGCCGAAAAAGAACTACAACTTAGGTTAGACGCTGGCGAAAAGAACCTGAAAATTTTAAATTTTTGGGTTGTAAGGCTTTGACAGAAAATGATGACGAAGGCACTTAAATTGGCTTTGGATCTGCTACACTAATGCCTGAAGCTTACTCAATAAGCAATCGGAACTAGGTGTACAGATTGACTCTACAAAGCCGGACATAATCGCAGTCACAGAAACCTGGCTGACACAGTTTGTAGATAGTATGGAACTTGCTTTCGAGGGTGTTACGTTAGTAAGGGCCGACAGAACACAATAGCGTAAAAGAGGCGGAGTAGCTCTATTCATCAGGAATGCTACCCCATTTGCCATTATCGTTAGTGTATCCCATGAGAGTGGGACGTGTGAATTAGTTAGTTGTCGCTTGAAGTGCAAGGGACAAGAGCTGCTGATTGGTTTGGTCTATCGCAGTTCAAGCTGTGAGGCAAATGAGATCCTGTTAAGCAGTCTCAATACTTGGTCACAAAGTGGTCGTTGTCTAATCCTAGGGGACTTTAATGCACCTATGGAAGACTGGGAAGATTTGCGGAATGAATCGTCAAATAATGTCTTCGAGCAGGACAACAGACCCAGAGTCCTCGATTGAAATGACTTGGGACGCATTTCGAAATTTATACTTAAAGGTTACCACACCTCACATCCCTTAGACTATACCAAGGGGGCCGAGGAACTCCCCACCACGGTTCAGTAAGGAGGTCCGCATCCTTCTCCGTAAGAGAAGAAAAATGTGAGATAATTTTAGGTTACTGGGGACTGGTGAGACAAAATCTCAGTATCGAAAAGCTCAGAATACCTGTGCCTCAACCCTCCGTAAGTCTAGAAGATTATACGGAGAGAAAATTGTCGAGAAACCCATAGAATGTCCCAAAAGTTTGTATTCGTATATAAACCAAAGGACAAAAAGAAGAAGAAATATTCCTGCACTATGGGGAGACAGTACTGCCGCATCATTAGTGGAGGACGACTTTGGCAAGGCTCAAGTGTTCTCGAACTACTTTAGCAATCTATATACCATAGAAGCACCCTTCCCGTCATCGCATACAAATCCCCCCACACATAAACTGGATAGCGTCTCCATTAAATAACTCGATGTTTTTGATCTGCTAAATAAGCTTGACATAGGTAAGTCCATGGGGCTCAATGAATTGCGTTCTAGGCTACTAGAGGAATTAGCTAACTTCGTTGCAAGCCCTTTAAGTATATGCTTTAACCTATCCGTAACATAGGGTTGTTTACCAAAAGACTGGAAGAACGCCATAGTATGTCCTGTCTTCAAAACATGTACGAAGCATAAACCTGAGAATTACCGTCCCGTTAGCTTAATTATTGTGGTTGTTAAAATTTTAGAAAAGATTATTCGGAAGGAGCTGTTTAATTATCTCGATGAATACCGAATCCTTTCATAGAAGCAGCACGGTTTCAGAATAGGTTATTCTTGTCTCACTAGCTTATTAATTACTTGTGAAAGCTGGTGCGCTCTTAAGGACCAAAAGTTACATGTAGACGTAGTCTACATTGACTTCAGCAACGCTTTTGACAAGGTTCCACACAACCGGCTGTTATACAAGCTGAGAGATGTCGGAAATGTGGACAATCTGCTGATATGGATAAAAGACTTCCTAGTTGGGCGTCAACAAAGAGTACGGGTGAACTCAAAGTTATCTGGCTGGGAAACTGGGCTCAGGGGAGTGCCTCAGGGTGCAGTCTGGGGGACAGTGCTATTCCTCTTGTATGTAAATGACCTTCCTCGTCTCCTATCATCATCGGTCTTGCTATATGCTGACGATGTCAAGATATGGAGAATGATAGGATGTTTTACGGGTGATAACCCAGAACTCCAAAATGACCTGAAGAAGTTATCTGAGTGGTCTCAAACCTGGCAGTTGCCGATAAATACTTCCAAGTGTGTTGTGATGCATATCGGTCATCAAGGTACAGATACATATATGATGAATAACAATGAGCTACCTGTCGTCCAGACAGAATTATTTAGGAGTCATCGTTAGCCAAGACTTAAAGACTACTGCACACTGCCGTGCAATAGCTGCCAAAGGTTTTAGAACTTTATGGTTAATACGTAGGGCTTTCAGGCATGTCGACGCTAAAACGTTTTTGACTTCGTATGTAGTGTTTGTACGCCCTAAGCTTGAGTACTGCATACAAGCGTTTATTTCCCGCTTTAAAAAGATAGTGAACTTTTGTAAATGTTAGGTAAACAGCAACTAAGCTGATTCCCGCAATAGCAAAGCTTCCTTATGATGCTCGGCTGGCCAAGCTAAACCTATTCCCGTTGTCATATCGCAGAATTAGAGGCGACTCGATTACAGTTTTCAAATTGCTTAGTGCCAAATTTGCACCTGATATGCCCTCATTTTTCTTGTCTTCCAAAACAGAGAATTTATGAGGACACTCCAAAACATTCACCAGCTCAGAACAAATTACCTGTCAGCCGACTATTGACTTTCCCATCAAATCATCAACGAGTGGAATTTATTACCTCAGCACGTGTTTGAGGCTCCATCTGTCGACTCTATCAAAAAATTTAGATCAACTGAGAGACCACCATTGCTAGGACTAACACAGGCCATCAAGCCTCCTGTACTTTTCAAACTGAAAATGGATGATGTCAACCTTCCACTTGCGACCAATCCTAAAATTGTAGATTTTTCATGTTGTAACTGCCTAATCTATAAGTTCTTACGAGGAAGTCACATCACTCTCTACACTGACTTGTCGGATCGCAACAATTACCAATATATAACGGAAAACACATTCATTCTGGAGATAGAAAAATACATTTAGTATGTGTTATGGATGCTGAGGGAAAATATACCAATAATTATCGTGTTAAGTCTATGGTGACCTTGGACCTTAAATGTGCGTTTCCTATTGGTCGATTTTTGTTTCACTTATTAAATATTGTGTAAATGTTGTTTTCTATTTTATGGTACGATGTGGTTTGTTTGGTTAGTATATAAATAGAGTATGTCTGAAATACAACGATTCATAACTCAGAGGCTGTGACTTGTGTTCTTGACTCAACTGGCTAGGACAGACAGCGGAGCAGGTCCAATCAGGGCACTAGGTCATCCACTACGTGTTTGCGTGTCCACTGTAATCGGTCGATGAATACGCTGCTTATCAAAACTTGCAGTCCACCCGTTACAACAGTATGAGTAAAAGCAAGTCATACAGAGGGACCACACCTGTGAGGCTGAGCCATGCCACTCAATTAGATTCAATTGACTTTTTTCTTCTTGCCTTCTCCGTCGTTTTGATTTTCCCCGCGTCAAATGTTGAATATCTATTTTCCCAGTTGCCTCGTGTTCAGCTTTGAGGATTGTGTGGTTAGGACCTGTACCACAACACAACTCTCCCACCAGAATCAACGTGACGTTAATTCGATAACAAATTTAGTGAGATTAATCTCACGACAATTGTCGCGCCCCGGAGGCTACCAGAAGAATGATAATAATCCCCCCGGTGCTGACAAGCTGAAAGATAAATCAGAAAAGGGGCGCAGCAACTGGCCGAGAAAAATTTCATAGAGTATTTTCGAAATGTTTGCTTTTATTCTAAAAACGCGAAAAATAGAAATCCATATGAAGATTAATAGTTCAACAATGTGGGATTATGACAATTAAGAATGATTCCATGTAGAGATATTTTAGTAAGTCGTTGTAAGGTGTAGTAATAGCTGTTGATTAATAGTTTAGCCTATAAGTAGAACAAGTATTTTGTGTTTATAAATATCGGTATAATTTTTAGTTTAAATCAGAAAGTCAATTAAGGTCATTGTCGGTGTGCCCTCCGTATGGGTTGATTTCCAATTTCATCTGGATTAGTTGGCTAACATTGACGTGAAAAACTGGGAAACCGAATAGCAAACTGAGGCAAAACCACAGCCGACTAATAATTCTGGTAAAACTCTAAAAGAAAATTAATCTACCGAACATTAAGTTCAAGACAGATCATTTGGATCAGTCGCCTAACGTAGTTACGGTTCAATATATGAAAGCTTTTTGAAATCAGAGGTCAATCCTCTATAAATCTTCAGCATGTGATCAATTTTAATTGCAAATCGTGCATTGTTTAAGGCTGGTTTTAAGATATACAGACATTGAAGTTCTCATTTTTGTTTGCACGACCTATTTCACATGGCCTACAAATTATGAGCTCACTTCGAATGTGGGTGTACAATAGGGTATTCAAACATGCTGGGTTTCATCGTGACAGTGTTTGTGGCTTACTCCTTCACTTCATATATTCTGCTAAGGAGACCGATCATATTTCTCAGAAGAAAGCGGCTTCCTTTCGAAGCTTCTCATATTAGTCACCGGGGTGGTTCAGGAGAACAGATTGAAAATACTTTAGAGGCTTTCAGTAGGTATGAATAAGCATTTGTCATAATTATACGTTGATCACACCTAGCTCTTTGCTTGTCGGCACAAATATGTTCGAGACTGATTGTCATATCACGAAAGATAATCAGGTTGTCGTATTTCATGATAATACGCTAGATCGTTCTACTGGAGTGTCGGGTTTAGTGAAAGAATTTTCATACGAAGATTTACCTAGATACCTTAGAGTAATTGAAGTTCAATTCACCCCAGGTATAAAGTCATTTTAGCTGTGTCGTTTTTTTAATAATTTTAACTGATATCAATCCAGCCTTTTATTGTTAGATCCAATATCAATATTCTTTAGTGTATTATGACGAGTGAACAAACTAAATTGTTGTTCTCTCAAGATAACTTTATAACCATTCAGGGTCTTTCAACTACTTGCTTCTCTATAAATCGAAGGCGTTTTACGTGCTGGAAATGAGTAAAAGTCCTGGGGATCCCTTAGGAGTATAAGAAGCTATATACCATGTTTAAGCGGTTCATTTCTTCCATGAGTTCACAGTAGTTTCTGCAGTTAAGTGCTTTTAACGTGCTTAAATATCAGTATGTATATAGTTTGATTAAAACTAGGAGGATATTACTGATTTGATCTCACTTGATAGTTATAAAATGTAGTTGCGGACTTGTGTGGTATAAAAATAAGGACTCATAAATGACTGTGTAATATCCACATGTTGTGACGTGTTTGCACCTTTAATTAATACCGAAAAGCTTCTGTGCTTTCTGTCACAACATATTCTATTTCAATACGGTGCATGGATTTCGAAAATCGGCAAGGTATTCCGGCCATTTTTATTAATAGAATTCCTAATTACCTACCCATTTTTCTGTCACTCTTATTTTATTTAATTATTTGAACAGGTAAATATTGGTACAAGAGGGCACCAAATATGTGTGCCCCAGATATCATTTGATGTGTGTCAGGACTGTGATACTGCTCGGGTGCCCAGACCGAAGTAGGTGATTTTCTTAGGGGGCCACACCCCCAGCCTTTGACCTAAAGGTCTAACCCACAAGGCAGTGGAGCATCGTGAGGAGATGCAGTCCCATGGTAGCCGGTGGCCAAGAAATTGGTTCATACGCCATTTTTTCCCACAGGATACTGGGCCCCATGTGCACCATTGTTTTCGGATCTGGTTAAAGCACCGGACATTCACTGAAACACACATACAGGATCCCAGTGTGGTCATTCACTTGACCTCATCTCGGCAAAACGGAGAGCCAACGAGATACACCCTCCGTGTATCTGGCGACCCGATGACTAGTTCTATTAGACTTGTAGGTGTAAGCATAGCACTAAGTACGAGGGCAGAACAAGCACTATTATAATGGATCCTCTTTAACAGTCGTCTATAAGCTGTTAGGCTAAACGGCTCTGTAAAATCTCAGAAGGACAGAGACACACATCGTTGCTTTTCGTCCTTCCTGCCTACGCTCCAACTTGACTGCAGCTCAGATGAAGTGAAAAATGAATTTTACAGAAAGCTATCTGAACTTCTTCAGAAAGCTAAACGTCCAGACATAGTACTCGTAGCAGGTGACTTTAATGCCCAGATAGGTAGTTTAAACCAAACAGAAAGGCATTTAAGTGGGTATTTTAGTATTCCGGCTCAGCGAACAGATAATGGTGATCGTCTGCTGCAACTATGCTCAGACAATCGTTTATTTTTATCAAACACAAATTTTAAGCATAAGGAGAGACATCGTCTAACATGGTGACCCCCTACACCAAACCAACGATGGACTCAAATAGACCATATTGCCATCAGTTATCGTTGGAGAGGGTCGATAGGAGATGGTCGCTCATTCTGGAATGCCTGCTTGGACTCCGACCATGCTCTAATACGAGCACGCATCTGCTTGTGCCTCACTGGACGCAAAAAAGCCACAGTAAAAGACTCATTAGAACTGGATTGAGTAGCGAGAAAACCAGAAGTAAGTTCCAGGAACAACTGAGGTCACAATTAGGTAGTTCTGAAAACGAGGTTGACCCAGATGTTGCTTGAAAAGCTATAGAAACAGCAGTGACATCTATCAGTGATTTAAACCACAGGGTTACAAAGAACCAATAGATTTCCTCTAGCTCTATTGCACTGATGGATTCTCGTAAACTCATCCCATCAGGATTTGAACACGATGAAGAGTGACAACAAATCAGATTTAGGTTAAGCAAAAGTCTAAGGAACGACCGTGAGCAGTGGTGGGCAAAGAAAGCAAAAGAGATGGAAAAGGCGGCGTATATAGGGAACACAAAACAGCTCTACAGACTAATAAAAGAAACTGGAATTAATAAAACATGTGTAAGTCAGACTATTTCGGAAAAAGACGGCACTCTTGTTTGCTCCCAGTCCAGACGTTTAGAACAATGTGCGGAACACTTTAAGGGGATAATTCAGCAGGCCTTCAGCTATTCTACAGTTACCCACTATTTCCAAACAGCCTGAATGGAACACTGAAATAGGTCCCCGACTCTAAATGAAGTTCAAAAGGTTTTAGTTAATCTTAAACGAGGAAGAGTAGCTGGTTCAGATGGATTGGCTCCAGAGGTTTTTAAGGATGGTGGTCCAATTTTAGCGATTCGGTTGACTAGTATTTTAGTTAAAACCTGAGAACTGGATATAATCCCATCTGAACGTTCGCGATCAGTGATCGTCCCAATATATAAGAAAGGATCGAAATCATCCTGTAATAACCATAGAGAGATTAGTTTGACCAATATAGCATCTAAAATGCTGGCCTCAATAAGTATCGGACGCCTAACTAAGACTCGTGAACTGCAAACACGAGAAAACCAGGCTAGCTTCAGACCTGGTCGTGACTGCATCGACCACATATTCATCATTCGTCAGGTTCTAGAACACAGGCATGTTTATCGGCGTCCGACAATGGTGGTCTTTCTTGACTTAAAAGCAGCATTTGACCCTGTAGACCAAGAGCTTCTGTAGCAGTGTGTCATTGAAAAGTGCACCAAAGAAATACATAAACATTATGAAGGCTCTTTACTCGAACACTACTAATCGAGTCAGAGCTTATGGCGAACTGTCATCTGATTTTGCAACCTCAAGTGGTGTCCGTCAAGGCTGTCCACTTTCTCCATTTTTGTTTAACTTCACCATAGACATACTGATGGAAATAACGCTGGTCTACTGAATTTTCGGGCATTGATCTGCTACCAGAGGGTCCACTTATCGACTTAGAATACTCAGATGACATAGTCCTACTTGTTGAAGACGCTGATAAAATGCAGAGTCTTTTGGTAGCACTGAGAAACAATGCCAGAATGTTTGGAATGCGCTTCTCTCCCTCTAAATACAAGTTGTTGCTTCGGGACTGGTCTGCGTCAAAACCTGAACTAAGGATAGGGAGTGAAGTAGTCGAACGCGTTGACAACTTCACTTATCTTGGAAGTCTGATCAGCCCTAATGGGTTGGTGTCTGACGAAATCTCAGCACGAGTTCAAATGCGCGTTTGGCTTTTGCCAACTTACGTCACGTATGGCAAAGGCGAGATATCCGTCTATCAATAAAAGGACGAGTATACTGCGCGGCAGTCCGTTCTGTTTTAATTTACGGCAGCGAAACATGGCCATTAAGAGTAGAAGACACTCGTAAGCTACTAGTATTTGACCACAGGTGCCTCAGAAATATTGCTGGCGTCTGCTGGGATCACCGGGTAAGTAATAGTGAGGTTAGACGCAGGGTATTAGAGAATGATGGTAAAGCAGTCGATGAGGTTGTGAATCTTCATCGACTGAGATGGTTGGGCTACGTGTTACGTATGCCCAAACACCGATTACCACGACGTGCAATGCTAACCGGTGTTCGGGATGGTTGGGGAGAAGTTAGGGGCGGCCAAACCAAAACCTGGCATCAGTGCTTGAAGTCACTAACTTCTAGTCTGAGCCATGTTGGTAGATGCAGACTACTTGGTTTGGGTCCGCATGACTGTCGTAACCAATGGTTGGAGACTGTGGGTGACATGACTCAGAATCGATCACAATTCCGTTGGTGTATACACTATTTGTCTTGCTTCAAACCGTGAGATTAAAACCGCTTTATACGTTTCTTTCTACGAAGTAATTCTTTCTTCCTGTACTATATTCTTATTGCAATCTTTCTTTTATATATTACCACCTCTGAATTAACTACTTTTATGAATCCGGTGTCCATCTTGTTGTGTTAATGAGGTGTGGCAACTTGGATCGATGCATATATGTGCCTGGTCCTACGTTGTAGCTGACTGACTGACATTCGCTTTTCGTTCTCTCATTTTCGTAGACAACACCCCCGCCACGAGAAGACAGTAAATAGGACTTCCCTGGCAGAGGCTGTATACGCGTGGCCGTGTGAGAGCATTTCGAGAGGGGGGAGGGCCCATATTGTTATCTCTTTATATGCGTGTCCCACACTATTTTCGAGATACGATTGTATCAATGTTTAATAACCTTAAACACATACAAAAATAACATTCCTGACTCTATCAAAAGTAGTAATAAGGCTTCGTTAACTGAGGTATGTTGCATAACAGATTTTCACCAATAGATTCTTATCATACAACTTTAAATTTGCATGAACTTGAACTAGTCGTTATCATGTCTTCGGTTTTTTGTTGACCTCTATTCTGTGCATTGGTTAACATCTGAATTTCCTACATCAATAATCATTTAACTAACTGTGATTTCTTATCTCTACCCTAGTCAGGTTCCTTTTGTATTGCGGAGTCTCCCTCCTCATATAAAATTCCACGATTAGAGGACTTGTTTAATAAGTTTCCAAATACCCCCATCAATATTGATATTAAAGTTAATGACAATCTTCTCATCAATGAGGTTAGTTTGTGACTTTATATATATTTATGTGTACTCCTTTGACCCCAGTTTTTATCTTTTCTTTATGTATAGCTTCACTTTATATGACTGTTGTATATTTTGCCGATATCCAACGTTCGTAATACAATTAAGAACTGACCCACCTAACGAGGCGAAAGTCTGCAAGGAACTCACAAGGCGTCACAAATAGCCATGCCCAGTTGACTTACCTCCGGCCTCTTTTAACGATTGCAGCGATCTTCTGGTTAAGGAGCTGACTGAGTTGTTTACAAATGCCTAGCAATTGGAGTGCCTCTATGTCGTGGATTGAGTCGATAGCTGTCATTGTATTTAGGAAGGGTTCACGTCGTTTCTGCGACAACCATCGGTGTATAAATCTGTTTCCCATCGCATCTCGATCATTGCTGCCACCTTGACGCAGTGGTCGGGCTTGCCTAACGTGATGAATCAAACGAACTGTACTTTCTGGAACATTCATTCTTCAAGGTCCTACCATGCCAGACAGGTCGGTTGAACAGCAGTAAGACTGAAAGCGCAAACCCAAGGTTTGAGGGTGAAGTCGTACTGTTGACTGTACAGAAGTATGACGGTAGTAAGGTGTTTCCTTCAGAAAACCGGCATAACAGCGATGCTGCCTTCTCACAAGGAGGGGTAGGGTTACAAAAGGTCGACCCTAAAAATACACACCTCGCCTTATCCCACGGATATCCGTCTCCGGCGGCGAAGTTCCAACAAGTATAAGGTTGATTCGAAAATTACTCACAAGAGGTCGTGTGTGACCGGCCTCAAGCAGCTGTTTCTTGGGAACTGCGGTCACACTCTCAGGTCACTAAGACCACCTCTAATCCACTTTCCTTTTCAGGTACTTCCAGATCAACCCTTCCACAGTGTGTGCAACTGGGAAGTGATAACCGCCCTCATAACTCTATCAGCACTCAATGCTACAGTATCCATTATCAATTTCCCTCTTCGATTCCCATTATTCCTCCTACCTTGACTTTCAACTCTAAACTTCCTCTTTTGGCTTTCTTCTCAAGTGTCACCATAGCCAACGACTCTAGTGCGCAAAACACTGTCCCAAGTCTACTGAAACCTCGCTCCAAACTACACATTGGAGCCTTCAACGTATGCACATTATGTCAAATCGGTCAGCAGGCCTCCTTGGCTAAAACCCTAGGACCCCGTACCATTGATGCATGTTGTGTTTCCGAAACACGCACACAGGATCCTAGTGTGGTCATTCACTTGACCTCATCTCGGCAAAACGGAGAGCCAACGAGATACACCCTCCGTGTATCTGGCGACCCGATGACTAGTTCTATTAGACTTGTAGGTGTAAGCATAGCACTAAGTACGAGGGCAGAACAAGCACTATTATAATGGATCCTCTTTAAAAGTCGTCTATAAGCTGTTAGGCTAAACGGCTCTGTAAAATCTCAGAAGGACAGAGACACACATCGTTGCTTTTCGTCCTTCCTGCCTACGCTCCAACTTGACTGCAGCTCAGATGAAGTGAAAGATGAATTTTACAGAAAGCTATCTGAACTTCTTCAGAAAGCTAAACGTCCAGACATAGTACTCGTAGCAGGTGACTTTAATGCCCAGATAGGTAGTTTAAACCAAACAGAAAGGCATTTAAGTGGGTATTTTAGTATTCCGGCTCAGCGAACAGATAATGGTGATCGTCTGCTGCAACTATGCTCAGACAATCGTTTATTTTTATCAAACACAAATTTTAAGCATAAGGAGAGACATCGTCTAACATGGTGACCCCCTACACCAAACCAACGATGGACTCAAATAGACCATATTGCCATCAGTTATCGTTGGAGAGGGTCGATAGGAGATGGTCGCTCATTCTGGAATGCCTGCTTGGACTCCGACCATGCTCTAATACGAGCACGCATCTGCTTGTGCCTCACTGGACGCAGAAAAATCACATTATGAAGACTCATTAGAGTCGAGGTCAGTGACGAGAAAGTCAAAAGTAGATTTCAGGATCACCTGAGGTCGTACTTAGACAATTTTGAAAACGAGAATGACCCAGATGTTGCTTAGGAGGACATACGAAAAACTGTAGAAACAGCAACGACAACTCTTGGTGATTTGAATTAATGCGTTATGAAAAACCATTGGATTTCCGCGGCATTTATTGCACTGAAAGACTCTCGTAAACTTATCTCACCAGGCTTTGAACACAATGAAGAGCGGAAACAAGTCAGATCTAAGTTAACCAAAAGTCTAAGGAACGATCGTGAGCAGTGATGAGTAACGAAAGCAAAATAGATGGAAAAGGCAGTGACTGTTGGTAACACCAGACAGCTTTTTAGACTGATGAAAGAAAATATAATTAAAGAGTTAAATGTCAGTAAGACAGTTTCGGAAAAAGACGGCACTCTTGTTTGCTCCCAGTCCAGACGTTTAGAACAATGTGCGGAACACTTTAAGGGGATAATTCAGCAGGCCTTCAGCTATTCTACAGTTACCCACTATTTCCAAACAGCCTGAATGGAACACTGAAATAGGTCCCCGACTCTAAATGAAGTTCAAAAGGTTTTAGTTAATCTTAAACGAGGAAGAGTAGCTGGTTCAGATGGATTGGCTCCAGAGGTTTTTAAGGATGGTGGTCCAATTTTAGCGATTCGGTTGACTAGTATTTTAGTTAAAACCTGAGAACTGGATATAATCCCATCTGAACGTTCGCGATCAGTGATCGTCCCAATATATAAGAAAGGATCGAAATCATCCTGTAATAACCATAGAGAGATTAGTTTGACCAATATAGCATCTAAAATGCTGGCCTCAATAAGTATCGGACGCCTAACTAAGACTCGTGAACTGCAAACACGAGAAAACCAGGCTAGCTTCAGACCTGGTCGTGACTGCATCGACCACATATTCATCATTCGTCAGGTTCTAGAACACAGGCATGTTTATCGGCGTCCGACAATGGTGGTCTTTCTTGACTTAAAAGCAGCATTTGACCCTGTAGACCAAGAGCTTCTGTAGCAGTGTGTCATTGAAAAGTGCACCAAAGAAATACATAAACATTATGAAGGCTCTTTACTCGAACACTACTAATCGAGTCAGAGCTTATGGCGAACTGTCATCTGATTTTGCAACCTCAAGTGGTGTCCGTCAAGGCTGTCCACTTTCTCCATTTTTGTTTAACTTCACCATAGACATACTGATGGAAATAACGCTGGTCTACTGAATTTTCGGGCATTGATCTGCTACCAGAGGGTCCACTTATCGACTTAGAATACTCAGATGACATAGTCCTACTTGTTGAAGACGCTGATAAAATGCAGAGTCTTTTGGTAGCACTGAGCAACAATGCCAGAATGTTTGGAATGCGCTTCTCTCCCTCTAAATACAAGTTGTTGCTTCGGGACTGGTCTGCGTCAAAACCTGAACTAAGGATAGGGAGTGAAGTAGTCGAACGCGTTGACAACTTCACTTATCTTGGAAGTCTGATCAGCCCTAATGGGTTGGTGTCTGACGAAATCTCAGCACGAGTTCAAATGCGCGTTTGGCTTTTGCCAACTTACGTCACGTATGGCAAAGGCGAGATATCCGTCTATCAATAAAAGGACGAGTATACTGCGCGGCAGTCCGTTCTGTTTTAATTTACGGCAGCGAAACATGGCCATTAAGAGTAGAAGACACTCGTAAGCTACTAGTATTTGACCACAGGTGCCTCAGAAATATTGCTGGCGTCTGCTGGGATCACCGGGTAAGTAATAGTGAGGTTAGACGCAGGGTATTAGAGAATGATGGTAAAGCAGTCGATGAGGTTGTGAATCTTCATCGACTGAGATGGTTGGGCTACGTGTTACGTATGCCCAAACACCGATTACCACGACGTGCAATGCTAACCGGTGTTCGGGATGGTTGGGGAGAAGTTAGGGGCGGCCAAACCAAAACCTGGCATCAGTGCTTGAAGTCACTAACTTCTAGTCTGAGCCATGTTGGTAGATGCAGACTACTTGGTTTGGGTCCGCATGACTGTCGTAACCAATGGTTGGAGACTGTGGGTGACATGACTCAGAATCGATCACAATTCCGTTGGTGTATACACTATTTGTCTTGCTTCAAACCGTGAGATTAAAACCGCTTTATACGTTTCTTTCTACGAAGTAATTCTTTCTTCCTGTACTGTATTCCTTATACACAATCTTTCTTTTATATATTATTACCATTGAATTAACTCTATCTATGAATTTGTTGTTCACCTTGTTGTGCTAGTGAGGTGTGGCAACTTGGACCGATTCACATATATGCCTGGTCCTACGTTGTGGCTGACTGACTGAATGTTGTTATAAAATTCGTGTTTTTGATGGTATACGTTAACTGTCAGTCATAAATTATGAATTTAAACTGCACATACTCTTGTCTTAACAGTTGGTTATTTATTATCATTCCTTATCACAAGAATGAAAAATCAGTTGGCAATATTTTTACGATGCTCTATTACATATTTGTACAGGAATACTGTTTTGTCGTAGAAAAATTTCCAATTTGCTTTCTTTTTTTAAATAATGTAACCATTTATTTATAAGGCGTAGCAATTTATACATTAATTAATTTCCCAACATTAATATTTAAAACAATTTTGATTATGAAGACAGATCAAATAATAACAACTGTGTTGGGCTGTTAATGTGATCCTGCTGAGTATTCTATTCAGAGGGAAAAACAGCCTTCGAAGAAGTAACTGCTTTTTTCTGTCTGTTAGATCCGCTTAATTTTGTAACTAGATATCCGTTAGTTCTATCTGTAGGACAAAATGATGTATGGCAGCCATAAAATAACACTTCTAAAGTTGATGAAAATTGGTGCACCAATTTGTTTTCTTAGAGTTTCATTCATTTTATTTTACAAAAGGTATGTGTTTAGTGAAGTCTTGGTATAAAATTAATATTTACACTTTTAATGCAAAAAGGCTTATGTATAATTTATTTAACTGTCAATATTAGTCTACAATCCTTGACAAATTACTGTAATTTATGATACTTCAGTTTTTTCACCAATTCTATTTGACCTTATACTAATAGAAGTAAATTTTTCTATTCATCTTACATTCACATTAAAGTGCAATCATCCTCCACATAATGAATAATAATTTTGTGTTTATACTCATACTTCTTATAAGTGAGAAATTCTTCAAAGTGAATTACAAGAGAATCTCTTCCCTTCAAAAAACGTCATACAATAATTAAATTTGTTATGGTATAATCAGACATTTTGTACGTCAACATTCCTATTCAATTTTCTAATTAGTATAAAATAGTGCATTACTACTACTACCACTACTGTCATGTGAGTTTTTATGTTTTATCTCTATAGCAAAAGCATTCTCATAATTTATAATATTATTCAGTCGTTTATAAATTTCTCAAGATCCTAGCTATTGAATGGTTAAATGAGTAACCAGTAGGTAGACTGGTCAGTATAATTTATCCAATATTTCATTTCGCTTACTTAACTTTTCATACATAAGATATATTTTGTCGAACATTCTTTGTATAACTGTAAATCTGGGCTTTGTAGTAACAGTGTGTAGTTTGACGACAGTATATCTAAATAATATGCATCACAAATGCCATTTGGAACCTGATAAAAGTTGGGATAAGAAGGCGAGGTCACATTATCTCTAACTCGATATAATATTTTATGACGCTAGTTCAGTCTCAATGATATTTTGAAATTGGTCTTATTTTCATTGTAGCATTTAGTCAGAACAGTATTAGGGTTTATATTCCCCAGTGCAACATTCTTTCAGGTCAGTATATTCATTATCAGTTAAGTGCGAGTTTCATTCAATATGAATGGTGTGAACTTTCGTCCTATGAATTTGATATTCATCTCGCTGTGTTAACGTGGTAAAGGAACTTGGACCGATGAATATGTGTGCGTAGTCCTTAGTTGTAAATGACTGACTGATTATGTCCAAGCTATTGGCTTCCTTCATATTTCTATATTATTCAAAACCTGAGAAAGTTTGATTCGCGAGTTACAGGCCAGTTTTTTTTCTAGTTGAGGATGTATTAACTATAACTTCACCCTCCAGCAAATTTTAGAACACCGTTATATTTATTGCTGGTCAACCATCGTAGTTTATTGATATTAGGGCCGCCTTCGATTGGTTGAATAGGACTGTTCTCTGGGATCGTCTATTGAAGAAGGGTGTGCCTGAGAAGTTTATCAACATCTTAAAGGCCCTATATATAGACACTTCAGTCAGATTGAGGACATGCAACCACCTATCTCCATCGTTCCATTCAGGCAGTGGGGGCAGGCAGGGTTGTCGAATCTCACCATTCCTCTTCAACTGTGCTATCGATGATTTTCTGGAAACAGCTCTGATGGATGTAGGTAGTGGTAGTGTGGATCTGTTGCCTGACGAAAAACTTCAATTTTGAGTAGGTGAATGATATTGTCTTACTGTGCGATGATACCTTAGTCATGCAATCCATACTTAATCACTTGGCAGTCAGTGTCCGTATATATGGCATGTGCTTCGTACCTTCTAAGTACAAATTACTTCTACAAGACTGGCAGAATTCCAATCCTACACTCACTCTGGATGGTGAACAGATAGAAGTAGTCGGGAAGTTCGTGTATCTAGGTAGCTGCATAAGTGCTGGTGGGGATGTGAGTGATGAGATTAATGCACGTATAGTGAAAGCCAGAGCGGCTTATGCCAATCTAGGCCATCTTTGGCGCCTTCGTGATGTCAGTCTGTCTGTAAAAGGTCGAATCTACAGAGCGTTGATGAGATCAGTTTTGCTCTATGTTTATGAAACCTGGTCTCTCTGAGTTGAAAATGTTAGATGACTCTGTGTTAGATCATCGTTTTCTCCGAAAGATTACTGACATCCAGTGGCAACACCATGTTAGTAATGCAGAGGTCCGGCATCGTGTGTTCAGGCACAGTGACGATAATTCAATTGGTATCACTATCTTGAAACATCAACTTCGGTGGCTTGGACATGTCCTACGAATGTCACCTCAGGGAATCCCACGTCTTGTAATAATTACCTGACGCTGGGACTGGTTGGAAAAAGCGAATAGGTGGTCAGTGTATGGCATGGTATTATGGTATGAAAGAAAACTGTACAGGAGTGGCTTCCGTTAGTCCTTCACGGATGGTGCAACACAGTGGCTAGAAATGTTATCAGATATGGCTCCAAATAGAAATCAGTGGTGATCCCGCTGTGCCTTCATAAAACTTAGAGTGACTTCTTTACCTGAAAAAAACACTTTCTGGTTGTATTTTTCCTAGCTGAACTGTTTGTCCCATTATCATTATTATCTCACTTGCACTAATTTCTTTTTATTGACGCTCTTAATTTTATTACATCCACCCTCCATCCTCTATCTCTTCACAACCTCGTTGTTATTTTGTGGCACGTATTTGGTGCCCCCCTGTACCAATGTTTGTGTTCAAATAAATAATATATTCACTCTGAAAAAGGTTGACTATCTACATGAGTTCTATCGTTATTTCCTTATATGATCTCAGTTTTTGATGGGTTTTTAGTTCAGTGTATAAAGTAGAAATCATATAATTCTCACGTTCTCACCACCATTTCGAGAATGTAGACTTACTTATTTAAAACGTTTGCACCTATTTGACGAGATTACATTTTCTGTTGCTATTTTTATAAAAGTGGTCCATGGAAATGTTTTCTCAGTTTTATAAATTTTGTCCACACCAAGATTTCCTTAATATTTATATGTATTCACCTAAATGGTATTATAAAATTGCCTACTTATATCTGGAAATACTCGCTTTTACTTTGAATTTTTTGAGACAGTTAAACTATGGGGGATTATAGGTCTCCTGACATCTTGATCTCATCCTACAGCTCCCACTGGCGTAAAATATAACATTAAAACTTGTTTCAAGAGTTTCGTATTTTTTCGCTTTATCTAATAATTTATGCTAACGAAAATTACCCTGGTAGCGATTTACATAATTTTAACACATAAAAAATATTGAGTTCTTTTATATTCCTTCTTATTTGTACTGTGAAGCCGTTATGGGAGAAAATTTTTATTGTTATGTTTTGGGTTTTCGATATCAAAAGAATACACAATTCGTCAACATAACAGGTTTTCCTTGCTCAGTAAAATGACACGTATACGTTGTATTAAGCAAATATAAATACGATTAAGTTATTTTAAACGTCAGTAAATGTAGGATACAGGTCTTTTTAGGTCATCCAGTTGGTACTAAAACTCATAATCTATCAGTTCGATTTCACAGCTGTAACATTAACGGAGAGTAGACGATACTTTTTGGGAATTCCAAGTATTTCTAATAGGTCTACAACGTTTTTAATTATCCTCATGAGCTTATAAAAGTTGACCAGTCTGTTAATTGCTTGATTACCAAGAATTTTTTAAAATCTAAATGATCTTATTTTATAATCAGTAACCGCGCTAATTATCTGGTTTTTCAGGTTTTGGTTTTGTGAATTTTCCTCAGCAGTTCTTGAAATGCTATCACACATCAACCACTGTTCAGCACTCAAAATTTTTATATGCATGAAAATTTTCCCCGATGGTTTATAATATATTGAATTTACTTACTACTATTTTAGGTTGCCCGCCTTACTGAAACTTACAATCGAGAGCATATAACTGTATGGGGGTCAATGAATTCCAAAGTATCAAAAAAATGTGAATTACGCAATAAAAACATTCTCACTTTTGCTCCAATCTCGTATGTAATATGGATAATGGCGTGTTATGTTGTGGGACTACTCCCCTTCATACCTATAAAATATGATTGTTTTGAAATTCCTTTAGTTTCTGTTATTCGGTAGGTTAACATGGCCTTTTTGTTGTCTGTTATCACTATTATTTGCTCATCTTGTTACCTTTGACAATCTGTCGGACGTGATTTTATAATTCACTAACGACTGAGTAGTGACTAATCCCACATATCTCAAGTCCGTCTCAGTAATATTCGAATTCTATTGATCAAGTTGCAATGGGCTCACTAGTCTAAGTGACTCAATATCACGTACACTATGTTGAGATGTAAATTGGTGGTTGGAGGTAATCGACAGGAAACCCTAGACCTAGATTTCATATTATTTGGTACTCGTCAACAAGGTGTACTTTTAATTTTGAGGGGAACGACGCTCCCTAGCAGTTCCAATCCCGTCACCCGAATTCACAGTTTATAAAGATAATTAAGTATTTAATCTTTCAACAATAAAGTCGTTTGATTTAGGCAATTAATTAACGACTTTAGAACACCTTTTTGTGTCAGGTCTATTGATAGCACCCATTTGCTTAATCCGAAATAGGCATAACCGGGTTTGAACCTGCAATTTATCAATCAAAAGACAGTCACTTCGAAAACTAAGTCATTTTTACCACTTCAATTTCGTTTTCTGAATATAATTTCTTGGAGCCGTGAAATAATGGCTATAGCTTTGTGATACTAACCAGTAGGTTACAATTTGAAATCATACTTCCTCTCTCTCGTTCAAGGGAGCTGGATAATATCATTAATCCTTACAGAAACAATGTATGAAAACTCTTAAATGGTAAATAAAGTAAATACTTGCTTTACAACGGTCGATATTCTTTATAAATACCTTTTACACAACATGGAATGCCACATATTTTATCCTTTCCAATACAAACTTCTTTCGACAACTAGTGCTCATGTATTTACTTGCTTAAAACCAGTTCGTCCACTGTATATGAACTCCCGACCGTAGCTACTAAATTGACCCAGTCAATAGGCTCAATTTACTATCCATGTATCTGGAGCCTCCCCTTGCTTGCGTAGGTATAGGACCAAGTTCGAAATCAGAACAGGCTTTCTTAGACCGTATTCCAATAAACAGTTGTGTGTTCTCTCTCCGACTAACTGGTGAAGTACAAACACGGTCAGATAAGGACATGTCACGTTGTCTCTCTTTTTACTCCCATAGACTGCAATTGGGATGAATAAAACGATGTTTTGCATTAAGCTTTATATAACTGTCTGCTATGACTGTGCTCAGAAAGCCGTTTATTCTTTGAAAGCACCAACTTTAAGCATAATGATAGACATCGTCTTACACTGCATCCCTCATAATCGACTGACTGTCAGACGCAACTAGATTATACCTCCGTCATTAAAGAGGCTCGATAGAAAACTGCTGCTCATTCCGAGGCATATGTGTAAACTTTTTCAGGCTATAGTACGAACACGTATTTTTTGCGTCTTACTGGACACAGAAAAACCAAACCAAAAAGACCCCTTGTAGATTAGTTTAACGACGAAAATGTCAAGATTATGTTTCAGAAACAACTAGAGAAACATTTGGTCAGATGTTAAGGCGATTGTCCTTCGATTTGTTTGGCATGATATCCAGACAGCTTTGAAAATAAGACTGACCTACGAGCTACTGTGACCATGCGAATGTGACGAGGAGTCAAGCGAACCTAATCTCAGACTGATACAAAGCCTATGCAACGATCATGAGCAAGAGTGGTCAGCCAAAGCCAAAGCTAAGGGGAAGACAACGACGATAATAAGTTTTTCAGACTTGTAAAAAACAGGTCGAAAATTAGGTCTTTTTGTGAAAAAGACGGAACAGTGATCCATTCTCAATCTAGGAGACTGAAGTGACTAGCAGGACGTGTTGAAAGACAGTATAACTGTGTTATATCCGAAGATTAAATTATGGGTTACTTCCGGGGTCTATATATAGTGTTATTATATATACATTCTTATTGCATGATTGTTAAGTAACTAGATTACATATATTTATATTCCTTTTATCATAAGCTTTTATTTGACCTATTGACTACTATCATGCGACTTACTATTCTTAAATTATTCCCGATTTATTCGTCACTGTCTCTCATAGTCACTTTTTGGCTTGATCCAGTTAAATTGTTTTTTTTTATGGTATAACCTGGTCTGGTTTGCTTGCATATGAACCAATTATGTCTGAAATGTATGATTCATATATTGGTAGTTGATATTGGTGTTCTGAACTCAACAGGCAGGGCTAAACGAGAACTACCAATAAGGACTCTAGGTTGCTCGTCATTGGTTTGACACAATGCTGAGATTGTATAAGTCGTGTTTTGATTGGCAATTTAGTCACGTGATAGTTAACAGGCCACAAGACAATAAATTGCTCTCGAGCTACCCTCTAGTTGCCTACTTTTAGCAAGCACTGTGAATAGAATGTCAACATATACTTCCTGAGTCTTAATGAACTCAAAAAAGCCATAGTTAGTCTAAAGTGAGGGCGAGTGGCAGGTCCTGATTGATTAACCCTGGAGTCCTTTAAAGTTGGTGGTCCAGTTTTATCTGTCGAATTGACTGAGATATTTGCAAGAGTTTTGGAACTGTATATAGTCCCATTTGACTGGTCTCGACCACTAATCGTTCCATTCCCCTTGTGATTATTACTCAATCTGGCTAAAAGAATGTTTAAAATATTAGCTCGTGAAGAGCAAACTCAGAAAAACTAGGCTTGTTTTAGACCTGGAAATGGATCTATCGACCGGATATTCGTCAAGTTCTGGAACACTGATATACCTATCGACTCCCAACCACAGTTGTAATTTTTCGACTTTAAGACAGCCTCTGATCACGTAAATCGATAGGTTTAATGGCAGTATATCATTAAAAGGCGCATTAACGTAGTCCATTAACTTTATACATTCTCTTTAATCAAACACTCCTGCTCATGCTAGAGCTTATGGTAAACTATCATCAGAACTGCTAACCTCAAGTGTTGTTTCTTTCCTGATTTCTATTTAACTTTGTCATAGACATTGTTTTAGGAATAACGCTTTTTCTCAGTGGCCTGTTATTGACTCGGTTGCCCATTTTGTTACTATTCTCAAGGATTTAATCGTACACTTAAACATAATAACTATTCATCTAATCCATATTCATTGAATAATCTAACAAATCCAGTAAAGATTCAACTGAACTAACTGAAGTTAAGACAGGTGAGAAAAAGTCATCACCTTTCACTGTAATCGGTGTTTTTAGGTTTTTTCTCTATTTGTCAGTTCGAACCATAGTAATCTCTTATTATCTATTAATAATTTCACAGTTAAGCGTTAGCAAATATATGTAAAAATGCCAAACAGGTGTTGATCTTTTATGTCATTATTCTCCTTATTTTTTTTACATAGATCTAACGAGTTTGCCAGACGACGTCATTGGGATCGCTTTTTACCTCATACAGTTCTTCTGCTCTCAGATTTGTAGGTATTTATGCTTTCTGATGGGTTTTGTAATTTTTGCATTGCATCTTGTAATATAACTGATTTTGTTTATCGGCTTGTAACACTGGGAACTAGAGATAGAGATTGTAATTGGGGAAAAGCGATAATGTTGAATTACTAAGAGGAAAGTAGAAAATAAATATAAAAACCCACTGCAACCGATTTTGAAACATATTGCTTAAGATCACTAACCATTTCTTACTATCATTTCTGATCATTATTATGTAGTTTACTCTTCCAAACACATTTCAAGCGAACAGTCAATAATCTCGCAATTTGATGAGTTACCTTTGTGCGGCTGGTTTAAACCTTCTTCCAACCTAAATGTTTGCTGGTCACCATCATCCTGTTTAGTATTGTTGGGGACGATAGATCCCCAAACTCATATTTTGAATTTTATCGCATCGATCAACTTATTGATTAAACGTTTAAATATTTGTATTGGAGTCAATTGATGAACTATCGATTAAATGCGCAAATAGGTCAATTGATGAACTCATTGATTAATGTTTAAAAATTTCCTATGACAATATCGATTGTAAATAATTGTATAAATACGCTTGACTTGTATGCTTGATCTGATCTGCCTGCCTGACTTGTTATCTGCTGTTTGTCTGTAGAATACACTTTCTACGACTTACCAAGACTTCTTGATCGAGTTAGCAGAGTTGGGGACAACGGACCAGAATAGACTATCGAGATTCTGAATCCTTGATCCGATCGATAAGTCACTGTCATATAATCGGCTGTCTCTTTGAGACATAACAATTGGCGAATAAGTCGAATCAGTAGTATCCTCAAGGATAACGAACCTAACAATTGGCGACGGGGTAAGAAAAGAACAATCCAAAGTCAGCCTTCAGCATCCAGATTTGTCATCTGTGTCCTTCAGCAACATTGGTCATTAATCAACAGTAATTTTCATTACCGGTGCTGAATAATAAAAAAATGACTCTCCCTTCCGATCGAGTACAGCTGCTATTTGAAAGACAGCTGGAGTTTTTAGTCAAATTACGCACGCAGCTGTTAAATCACTCATGCTTTGGAGATGCAACGGAAGTGGATGGATTGATCTCTCAACTGCACACAGATTTGGAAAATGATTGTAGCCCCAATGAATCCCCGATAAACCGTATTTCAAACGGTACAACAGTCACTCAAGATTCGCCCAGTGGTCCAGTCCTCTCCATCCCAGAAACATGCCCGGTAATGGACTCAAACTCCATTATCCCAAAAACAGCATGTGCAGACGGTGACTTATCCAGCTCACAAACACACTCCCTGGTAAATGCTCACAGAATTGTCGCAATAACCACCCATGAAACAGAAAACAAATCGAGCAGTACACTGAATACAACTGCTTCAAATGGTTCTCATCAATCTGCGACAGATGTTTTTGACAAATCTTATTATCAAGATTCTCTTTTACCAGAAAATATGTCAGATGCATCAAATGATGATCAAAAACTTAATACAATTTTGATAGATGCTAATTACCTTGATGATCCATCATCTACAAATAAGATTCCAAATAAATTTGGTCACAATATTTCAGAAGAATTAAACTTCGAACACCTCATATCAAGTGTCGTTCAGCCTCAAGACTTAGTCACTTTCAGTCAATTCTCTGTTCAGTGCGATGAATATGTCTTAAATAAATTCAAGTTAATTATAACGTGGGCATATGAGGATCCAACACTGTTTCGTTGGGGAGGATGGACCTGGAAAACTTAAAATCCGGATATCAACTCCGGATCTTCTAAAAAGCGGAGGAGTGTTGGGGACGATAGATCCCCAAACTCATATTTTGAATTTTATCGCATCGATCAACTTATTGATTAAACGTTTAAATATTTGTATTGGAGTCAATTGATGAACTATCGATTAAATGCGCAAATAGGTCAATTGATGAACTCATTGATTAATGTTTAAAAATTTCCTATGACAATATCGATTGTAAATAATTGTATAAATACGCTTGACTTGTATGCTTGATCTGATCTGCCTGCCTGACTTGTTATCTGCTGTTTGTCTGTAGAATACACTTTCTACGACTTACCAAGACTTCTTGATCGAGTTAGCAGAGTTGGGGACAACGGACCAGAATAGACTATCGAGATTCTGAATCCTTGATCCGATCGATAAGTCACTGTCATATAATCGGCTGTCACTTTGAGACATAACAATTGGCGAATAAGTCGAATCAGTAGTATCCTCAAGGATAACGAACCTAACAATTGGCGACGGGGTAAAAAAAGGACAATCCAAAGTCAGCCTTCAGCATCCAGATTTGTCATCAGTGTCCTTCAGCAACATTGGTCATTAATCAACAGTAATTTTCATTACCGGTGCTGAATAATAAAAAAATGACTCTCCCTTCCGATCGAGTACAGCTGCTATTTGAAAGACAGCTGGAAATTTTAGTCAAATTACGCACGCAGCTGTTAAATCACTCATGCTTTGGAGATGCAACGGAAGTGGATGGATTGATCTCTCAACTGCACACAGATTTGGAAAATGATTGTAGCCCCAATGAATCCCCGATAAACCGTATTTCAAACGGTACAACAGTCACTCAAGATTCGCCCAGTGGTCCAGTCCTCTCCATCCCAGAAACATGCCCGGTAATGGACTCAAACTCCATTATCCCAAAAACAGCATGTGCAGACGGTGACTTATCCAGCTCACAAACACACTCCCTGGTAAATGCTCACAGAATTGTCGCAATAACCACCCATGAAACAGAAAACAAATCGAGCAGTACACTGAATACAACTGCTTCAAATGGTTCTCATCAATCTGCGACAGATGTTTTTGACAAATCTTATTATCAAGATTCTCTCTTTTACCAGAAAATATGTCAGATGCATCAAATGATGATCAAAAACTTAATACAATTTTGATAGATGCTAATTACCTTGATGATCCATTATCTACAAATAAGATTCCAAATAAATTTGGTCACAATATTTCAGAAGAATTAAACTTCGAACACCTCATATCAAGTGTCGTTCAGCCTCAAGACTTAGTCACTTTCAGTCCATTCTCTGTTCAGTGCGATGAATATGTCTTAAATAAATTCAAGTTAATTATAACGTGGGCATATGAGGATCCAACACTGTTTCGTGGGGGAGGATGGACCTGGAAAACTTAAAATCCGGATATCAACTCCGGATCTTCTAAAAAGCGGAGGAGTGTTGAGGACGATAGATCCGTAAAACTCAAATTTTGTATTTTATCGCATCGATCAACTTATTGATTAAACGTTTAAATATTTGTATTGGAGTCAATTGATGAACTATCGATTAAATGCGCAAATAGGTCAATTGATGAACTCATTGATTAATGTTTAAAAATTTCCTATGACAATATCGATTGTAAATAATTGTATAAATACGCTTGACTTGTATGCTTGATCTGATCTGCCTGCCTGACTTGTTATCTGCTGTTTGTCTGTAGAATACACTTTCTACGACTTACCAAGACTTCTTGATCGAGTTAGCAGAGTTGGGGACAACGGACCAGAATAGACTATCGAGATTCTGAATCCTTGATCCGATCGATAAGTCACTGTCATATAATCGGCTGTCACTTTGAGACATAACAATTGGCGAATAAGTCGAATCAGTAGTATCCTCAAGGATAACGAACCTAACAATTGGCGACGGGGTAAAAAAAGAACAATCCAAAGTCAGCCTTCAGCATCCAGATTTGTCATCTGTGTCCTTCAGCAACATTGGTCATTAATCAACAGTAATTTTCATTACCGGTGCTGAATAATAAAAAAATGACTCTCCCTTCCGATCGAGTACAGCTGCTATTTGAAAGACAGCTGGAAATTTTAGTCAAATTACGCACGCAGCTGTTAAATCACTCATGCTTTGGAGATGCAACGGAAGTGGATGGATTGATCTCTCAACTGCACACAGATTTGGAAAATGATTGTAGCCCCAATGAATCCCCGATAAACCGTATTTCAAACGGTACAACAGTCACTCAAGATTCGCCCAGTGGTCCAGTCCTCTCCATTCCAGAAACATGCCCGGTAATGGACTCAAACTCCATTATCCCCAAAACAGCATGTGCAGACGGTGACTTATCCAGCTCACAAACACACTCCCTGGTAAATGCTCATAGAATTGTCGCAATAACCACCCATGAAACAGGAAACAAATCGAGCAGTACACTGAATACAACTGCTTCAAATGGTTCTCATCAGTCTGCGACAGATGTTTTTGACAAATCTTATTATCAAGATTCTCTCTTTTACCAGAAAATATGTCAGATGCATCAAATGATGATCAAAAACTTAATACAATTTTGATAGATGCTAATTACCTTGATGATCCATTATCTACAAATAAGACTCCAAATAAATTTGGTCACAATATTTCAGAAGAATTAAACTTCGAACACCTCATATCAAGTGTCGTTCAGCCTCAAGACTTAGTCACTTTCAGTCAATTCTCTGTTCAGTGCGATAAATATGTCTTAAATAAATTCAAGTTAATTATAACGTGGGCATATGAGGATCCAACACTGTTTCGTGGGGGAGGATGGACCTGGAAAACTTAAAATCCGGATATCAACTCCGGATCTTCTAAAAAGGGGAGGAGTGTTGGGGACGATAGATCCCCAAACTCATATTTTGAATTTTATCGCATCGATCAACTTATTGATTAAACGTTTAAATATTTGTATTGGAGTCAATTGATGAACTATCGATTAAATGCGCAAATAGGTCAATTGATGAACTCATTGATTAATGTTTAAAAATTTCCTATGACAATATCGATTGTAAATAATTGTATAAATACGCTTGACTTGTATGCTTGATCTGATCTGCCTGCCTGACTTGTTATCTGCTGTTTGTCTGTAGAATACACTTTCTACGACTTACCAAGACTTCTTGATCGAGTTAGCAGAGTTGGGGACAACGGACCAGAATAGACTATCGAGATTCTGAATCCTTGATCCGATCGATAAGTCACTGTCATATAATCGGCTGTCACTTTGAGACATAACAATTGGCGAATAAGTCGAATCAGTAGTATCCTCAAGGATAACGAACCTAACAAGTATGTAAAGTTTTTAAAAATTATAGTCGAAGGATTCAAACGAAATAATTTCCTTCACCAACCAACGTATACATTCTGTTTCATGTTCTATGAATAGACAAATCTGACTCAAATAAAATCTAGTGTTAAAAACATTGTTGTTGGAGTGAACATTAAAGAGGGTTTTGTTAATATTAACTGTTTATGTGACTCCATAAAAATTCATTCTTATCACTGTTTGCAATTAACTTTTTGTTTTTCTTTTTTTTTCTTAAAAAAAGTGAACATTTGTTATCTTACATTGTAAAAGATATCTTGATCGTTTGTTATATACATTAGTGATAATTAAACATAATCGACCAATAAGATATAAATTAACTATAAGGAGATTAGCATTTGTGTTTATTAAAAACTTTTGTAACATAATATCTTAAATTAACTTATTATCAATTGGATCACTTGTGAAGAAAAAGTCTTAGGAACAAAGCTTTTTGTAATTGTTTAGTGTATGTAATTCATTCGTTTACCTTATATGTCAAGGTATTTACCAAAATGGTTTACACTAGAAATTTGTATAATAAGAGGTACACTTAAAGAAAAACCGTATTACGAAAAATGAAATCCAAGTCTACAATATATTTCAGTTTGTAGTTCATGAAATAAAAATAAATCTCTATTTTTATGTTATCAATTAATCGTTAAGTACGAAAATAAATTGGTATTTAGTCAGCTTAAGATTATGATTTGTTTCGGCCTTCTTATAAACTCATGATTAATAGACAGTTGGTATTTTATATATCTGGAAATACTCATATTAATCACAGTTTTAATCTATGTTAGGATAAAACTGGATATATGTTTATCATACTATATAGTGCGATTGACTCATGACCATGATTGTCACTACAAATGGTAGACATTAGAGTAAGCTTTCTTGTTTCCCAACTATTCCGTTACTTTCTACTTCTTGTTTTCATTTTTTTTCCGCGCTTATGTGTATGTATGAAACAGCATATTATCGTCACCTTTGTTCATCGAACATCTACGAAAACGTGGACTTCCGGTGAGTTTACTAAATTAATAAGTTATTTTAAACAAGAAAATATCTTCCAGTGTTCATGTAGGTGAATATTTCGTATCCATTCTATTCGGAAATCCATGTTTCTGTCTGATTCGATTCAACTTTTATTGTGAAATTTTAAACTATGATGGATAATGGCTATCAGTGGAATCCAAGACGTGCGTTTCGTTCTATTTGGGACTCATCAGCTGGATGTACCAGCATCCCAGAGTTGATGTTTACTCAAGGACTCGAACCTAACACCATTCGCTTCAAACGCCATCGCGTTATCCACTTACCTACTGGGTCCTGATAGCCATCTGTTTGTGCAATCGGGTGAAGTTTAAATTCACTTGATATTTTTTGCTTGTATCTTCCCATCGTTGATGCAGGTACATCCAGCTGACGGATCCCAAATAGGACGAAACGTGCTTCCTGGATTCCACTGTTAACCGCCATCCATCTTTGTCTATGAAGCTTGTGACTTAAGGCAATATCGAGGCAGTTCGCACAAGGTGCATATATGCCAACAAGAAACTGATCAATTACAGTCCTAAACAACAATGAGAAGATACAAGCTAATAATACCTTTTTTAATTCCATTATGTATAAAAATTCATCAAGAGGTAATTTGATCGCTGTTAATTTTTAACTATTTTCAAATTTTACCACCCACGGCTGTCATTATAGTTTTCTTGTCAAAAGGAAGACTAATTACCAATTTTTCATATCATAGATGATTTATGATAGAAACGATTAACCCGTTTTGTATCTTGAATAACAGAACTTTTACTCCAATCAATGCTAAGCAAACTTCAATAAAACTATCTACTGATTGTCATAAAAACTAATTGTGTACATTTTTTAAAAGATCGGAATACGTTTTATGTATACACTTACTAAAGTTCTCCGCACATTCTCATATTGTAATCGTTTGCAATGACACAAGTGCAGCCACTCTTTGTGTTCTCCCAAATTCTAATCTTCTGAATTATTCATGTCCCTTTTTTTCTCTTTCCAAATTTATTTCACTGTATTATACTCCTTGAATAACATTTTCAAGCCCTAATGTTTCTGATTACTGCTTATACTCTTACCACCTCTACCACTACGGAATTTGAATCGACAACTGCATTTCTGTGCTAATGCGGTATGATACGGCAACTCGAACTGATGCACGTACGTACAAAATTCCACGTTGTTACTGACCGACTGATATTATTTTACACCAAACTCCTATAAACTTAATTCATCTATCAAATACAAGCGGGTTAATATATCTGGTTTTAAGTCACAGTTTAGCTATATGAAAGCTACTGATATTACCCAGCTACCTAAATCGAAAGTTGACGTTGAGGTTTTTAACTTGTGCGTTGATTATTGAAAGTTGGATTATCTAACTAATAATAAGCTATATCTTTACTACTACTGGTAAATATTTAATAAGCTGAACTAATGTATATTTTCAAATCAGTAATTGCAAAATACAATATGCTAAATGTAAAGTATTTACACAATATTATTAAGATAAACAGACATCATCAATATAGAGACTGGCACAAATGTATGTTGACCTAAGTTGCCATACCACATTAGCATGACAAAATAAACAAAGGGAACTAACCGTATGAAATGAAATTAAAGATTAGACCTAAATAATCTAGCAGCAATAACAATTCAAAGAAAATCCGAACGTTGAAAAGATAAAATGGAAAGGCATGTATACAGAAGTACTGGAATTCAATATCTAGAGGAAAATATACGGTAGATGCATCTGTCATCCAGTTTCTAACCACACCTTATTAATATGAATATTAGCACCATGTAGATCAATAAATCAGATATTTTCTACACCTACAATTAATAGAACCAACGTTTCATATTTCACTTCTGTATTTTAAGCCCTAAAAGCTTCTTATTATTTTCTTTAGTCTATGAGACAACGACCTACTACCTGAATATATGAATTAAAATGAAATAATTTAAGAAACTACATCAATTTAAGTAACTTTGTTGTTAGTTAAATATTAGAACCCTTCATAGTATCTTATGTTATCTGAAGCTTAGATAAAGTTTCTGAATTCGTACGAGAAACCGAATATCTGACCTCTTCCCATTATAATAATGTTAAGCAGTGATTCAAACGGGGAGCACGTATTTCAATCTAACAGTTAGTGCCTCCGGATTATTTCCTAAATTAAATTGCAATCACCAAGTAGGCAGTACTGATATTAGGTATTAGAGTAAATTATTTGATTATTTAGGTCTTTGCAAAATTAATTGTCATGACCCTGTCTTGTATAAATATGTTCCGTTTTGCCGACTTATTCTTGATAATTTTTACTATTTCAAAAATAATTCCTATACAAATATTTCAATTTAAATGACAGGATATAAAATTAGGATTCCTTGTTAGATAGTGTTGTGTTTAAGTATGCTTACATTTAATAAAAATTTGTGATCACGGGACACTTGATTGATATGATTAAAAACCATTTTCCGGTAAACGTATTTACTATTTTTTATACTCGATTATCGTTGAACGACCGATTGAATGGGACTCGCCACTATACATCAACTTGATTGATTATGAGAAGGCATTTGACAGTGTGGATAGGAGGACCTTATGGAAACTTCTTCAACACTGTACTGTATTTGAGAGAATCGTCAACATCATCCGGAATTCATACGACGGTCCACAGTGCATGGGGGGGCAGCTGACAGACGCTTTCCAAGTGAGGACCGGGGTCAAACAAGGCTGCCTACTCTCATTCTTCTGGTAGTTAGTTGGATTATGAAGACCACCTCCACACCTAACGGAAAGCACGGAACACAATCGACGGGTTGGATACAGCTGACGATTTGAATTTCGCAGATAACCTTACCCTTCTATCCCATGCACACGAACAAATGCAGATAAAGACAACTAGTGTGGAGGCAGCTTCTGCATCAGTAGGCTTCAACATGCACGAGGGAAAAGGCAAGATCCTCAAATTCAACACAAGGAACACCAACCTAATCACGCTTGGTGAAGAATCTCGGGAAGAGGTGGAAAGTTTCACGTACCTGGGCAGCATCATCGATGGACAAGGAGGATCTGATGAAAACACACAGTCCAGGATTAGCAAAGTAAGGGCAGAGTTCCTGCGATTGAGGAGCCAACATCAAGATCAGAATCTTCAATACGAACGTCACGATGGTTCTAATGTACGGAGCTGAAACTTGGAAAGATACTGCAGCTATCATCGGAAAGTAAAAAGTATTTAAAAAGAATTATCTGCGCAAGATGCTCAATGTCCGTTGCTCGGATACCATCAGCAACAGCCTACTGTGGGAAAGAACAAACCAGCTTCCAGATTAAGAGGAAAAACGATGGAGGTAGATAGGACACTGCGAAAGTCAACGTAGTGCATTACGAGGCCAGTCCTAACTTAAAGTCTTCAAAGCAAAAGGAGAAGAGGAATACCAAGTAACACATTTCGTCAGGAATCAGAGGCAGACATTAAAGGAACGAATAGCACTTGGAAACAACCGGAAAGGAGAGCCCAGAACAAGGTCGTTTGGACAATCGTGATTGGTAGTCTATGCTCTTCCACGGGGGGTAACAGGCATAAGTAAGTAAGAGGGAGTAACAACATTAGTGATAATGTAAAAGATTGGGCATCGGAGCTACGATTATAGAATAAAGAATGAAACTTTTTTAAATATACATTCGTAAACTTATTCGATTTAAGTTGGTTTTTTACAGTAGAGTTAGATTATGTGTTTACTTATTAACTATGGCAAATTTGTTGGGTCAGACGTTCACTATATATATATATATATATATATATATATATTTTAAATGGCCAACAAATACATTCACTGCAGTGAATGTCATGTGGATTAAGCATTATTTGGCACCACTATATTAGAGTTATGTGATATGTAACGTTAATTTGTAACATTTTAATAATTTTATAACTTCGACTGACCTCTGTTTACTTTTGCCAGTCGTTTATTTCGTAATCAACATAAGAATTTATTATTTTCATTTGATATTTTAAAGCTCGTTTAGCTTTTGCCAATTTTCGTCACCAGTGGTGTAGGCAGAATATCTGTCTACCAATTAGGGGGCAAATATACTGCTCAGCAGTTCTTTCTCTTCTGCACTACGAATGCAAAACGTGGCCATTAAGAGTAGTAGATACTCGTAAACTACTAGTATTTGACCACAGATGTCTTAGAAATATTGCTTGCATCTGCCGAAATCACTGGGTAGGTAGTAGTGAGGTTAGACGCAGGGTATTAGGGAATGATGGTAAAGCAGTCTGTGAGTTTGTATATCTTCATCGTCTGGAATGGTTAGGTCACGTGTTACGTATGCCTAAACATCGATTACCACGACGCGCAATGCTGACTAGTGTTGTAAACAGTTGGAAGAAAGTTGAGGGCGGCCAAATCGAAACGTGGCACCGGTCCATAAAGTCACTAAACTCTAGTCTGAGTCATGATGGCAGATGCAGACTACTTGGTTGGAGTCCGCGTGACTATCGTAACCAATGGTTGGAGACTGGGTGACATGGCTCAGAATCGATCACAATGGCGTTGGTGTATACACTATTTTTCTTCCTTTAAACCTTGAGATTAAAATCGCTTTATACGTTTCTTTGTACGAAGTAATTCTTTCTTCCTGTACTGTATTCCTTATACACAATCTTTCTTTTATATATTATTACCATTGAATTAACTCTATCTATGAATTCGTTGTTCACCTTGTTGTGTTAATGAGGTGTGGCAACTTGGACCGATTCACATATGTGCCTGGTCCTACGTTGTAGCTGACTGACTGACTCTTAAATAGTGTTATATACTTCTTATGTCGATATTAGTTGCACACACCACAATTCAGATGAATCCACATGAAGAATTTCACAAAGGACAAGAATAAGTTGTGTATAAATTCTATGTACTACGTGATTTGCGAACCCAGTTTGTGCATATTGCCTTTGCGAGTCTAGGTTAGTAAATGAAACTACTATTAATCCTCGATACATTTCTGGAATCATTATTATTTGAAATTTTCGAAAAAACAACCTCCAAAGCACCCGTGTAAGAAGTCATTAAAATTGTGTTTAATCTTCAACTTCCATGCCATTATATTTCGTCAGATGGAAATCGTTATAGGCTTGGTACTAAACTGGGGTTTATTTTTTTTGTTTAGAACTTATAAAATTATTTCATCGTTTAAATTTATACTCATAGGACTATAATTTGACAACTTATTTCTGTTCAGCATCCACATAACTGAAATATCACCTGGAGAATCTAGTCTTGTAAACAGTTTTATAAGCTATCTAGCTTTTCCATGTCAGTTGAATAATTCTGAAAGTGCAACACTTTTAAAGTGGCCGTTTCACTTTCAAAGTAATTAGTCATTAACACATTACAAAGTAAAATGAAGCTTGACTAAGCCTTATTTTCTCCCGTTTCACCTGTAAGATTTTCAATAGTAAGCGAATGTTTAAGCAGTATGAAATTCGTTTGTTTACTTCCCAAAACTACATTTTTTAAAACTAGTGTTTTGGCTGTATTTTTTTATTGAAAAAAAAAATGACTTAGAAACTATTTGTAAGTCATCAGACTTATGATATGCTTAAAACACCCGTATATTCCGTATTACTTGTTCGAAAGTTCTGTCTCTTAATTTTCTTATTGATATTTTCTCTACAAGGTATTCTTCTGGGTGTGTAACAATGAAGAGGATATGGAGAAAGCTTTTGAACTTGGAGCTTCAGGAGTAATGACAGACTATCCCAGAAAACTAACCGAATTCCTGAAGAAGCATCCTGAGTATCCAAAAGTTTTTTAATTCATTTAACATCCTCGCTTTAATAAAACATTGGACTTTATTTCTGTTCATATCCTATGTCTTATGAATTTCTGATTTGAATTAAACGTGTTTATTTTGTAAATCACGTTGAATTTATATGAACATTAGTCATTTTCATTATTTTACGATCGGAACACTTCACTTCGTAAATAATAACCACGAGTTTCACAGGCCTAAGAATACTTTATGTTGTCGATGCATAAACCATGACTTTTGTTTTTAATGGTATTGAAGGTCAACAACACTACACTTCGACATTCTCGATGTAAATTTTGCAGGTAGAAACTCAGAAGTAAATCTTAATGTTTGCTAGTTAATTTAGATAGTAGGTTAAAAATGTCTTACAGAAGGACGGTGTTACATTATCTTAAAAGCTACTGAATCTTTAATTTATCTGGTTTGTTTTATTTTCTTCACGAATTACTAGTTGTGGATTTACGCTCCAACTAGAATAGATAGACAAGACTGTCATTTAGCTGTTGTCTTTGATTCTACTTCCCGTTCAGTCATTGCTGACCACCTGTGTACTTCATAGCAGTGATTGATTATATCGTTCTTAGTTAGTAGGCTATTACTACAGCCAGAAAACGGATATTTGTTTAGGGGGTTGTTTTTATTTACTCTGGTCTCAGTTTTAGGTACATTGTGTTGTGGATGACAAGACTGAATATGTTTATTAAGTCAGTCCAAAGTCTTATTACAGTCAGTTAGGGGGCAGCTATGAAAGGCTTCGGTAGTAGCTTTGATTTGGTGGTTATTTCCATAACGTCTGTACATTTCTTTATTTGTGGCACACATTCTATTGCATGGTTGCACTTTCTACCTGACTTAGAGTGTATTAATTTTAAAGTAAACTATTTAATATATTTGGATTGAGGATGCTACAGATATTCGGAGTTTGACAACACTTTAACAATTAAAACCTAATACAAATCGTACCCACCAAGTGAAATCAAAAGACAACAGTGGGGAGGTTTGAAGGTATATATGATAGGCTATCAATATATCGAGGATCGTCTAATCTAATCTGGCTAGCGAATGCAAGGGAAGTTGAGCACGGCGTTCCTTCTCTTGACCTGGTACGGATGCATAACCAAGCGCCTTCAGGTAGGTGAGTTCATTAAAACTAATATGGTCAGCATCCAATGTCGAAAACTTACAGAGTTGTTTATTTTGGGGATTTATTTACCGCTACTCCCCTCATTGTGGGGTAGTGATGACCCTAAGACGTGGCCAGCCAGGAGTTTAGACCCAACGAGTTTGTTGTTGGTAAACACTCTTCTCTTAGCTTGCTAGGTTTAGCAGCGTCTAGTTGTCTTTCCTGCATCTCCTTACGATGCTCCACTGCCTTGTGGATGAAACCTTCAGTTCGAAGGCTCGGGGAGTTGTCACCATGAAAACCACCTGCTTCGGTTTGGGCAACCGGGCAGTATCACAGCCCTCACACATATCGAATGAGGTTTGTGTGGCACTTATGTATTTGGTGCCTCATTGTACCAATATCTATGTGTTAATATAAATAAATAATAGTGCAGTCAAACAACGGAAAATTTCAGATTCGGACTGGCGTCCGTGTTCTGTAGTGATGGTTGAAGGAGAGCCGAAGTTTGCTACCAATCGTTCGGCGAATGCGCGAGCCGCGGCTTCAGCAGTAACGTCCTTGATAAGTACTGCTTCTGGCCATTGAGTGAAACGGTCTACGCAGGTTAAAAAGATAATAGTATCCATTTGAAGCTAGTAAAGGTCCTACCAAATCAAGATGAACACGGTCAAAACAAGCGTCAGGAATTTTGATGGAGCTTAAGTGACATTTGTTATGTCTAATAATCCTAGATTTCTGGCAGCTTACACAGGATGGCGCCCATTCCCTCGCGCTCCTAATTCATACCAGGCCATCAAAATCGTTCTGCCATGAGCTTGGTTGTTGCACGAACACCTTGATCAGAAAGTTTGTGCAACGTATTTAAGACGTTGTGCTGGTAATATTTCGGCATGACTAGGCGATCCCTACATATTGATGTGTCACGAAGTAAGGTCTCCTTACCTGTTCCCATCTGTTTAATACGCAGTTTAAGGGTTGTTGAGGATAACACGCGCTGAAGATCAGTGCCTTCTTTCTGAATTTGGGCGACAAATGTGTAATCCGCGTTAGGTGCTGAACTCGAAGTGTGACTTCGGATTAAGCTGGTTCGTCACGCCATTCCCGTCTAACTCGAGTAGCCCCCAAGCATTCGACAGATCATCCACGTTGGTGAACTACAAGTTCCTCAATTTGAATACGTGCTCAGTCCTGTGTCCCACATGCACATTTTACAAGTGACGACGTCAATATAATGTTGACGAAATGTCCAGTATATAGTTTAGAAATGATTAGTATGTATAAAGCATGCTAAATGCCATCAAAATAATACGCTCTCTGTGAATAATAAAAACAATGTTAGAAAGAATATGGAATACCATGTGGCTGAAATGACAAAAATCAGTTTAACTTCTAGTGCAAAGGATAATACGTTATATCTTCTACTATTTATCCTGTACGTCAGTGGATGACGGAGACTGTATAAAACATTGGCACTCCTGAGTTCAGGCGATATCAGTCTGATTAGTGGGCCTGATTATATCAATCTTCAAGTTTGTTTGAATAAATGAGTTAGATAGTTCCCAAGTTGATATTCCGAGATTAAGTCTGAAAAGTATGTGCTAATCACTTAAAGAATGCTGGTCGGCGATCTATGCTCCATTTGGAGTAACAGGCATTACTAAGTAATCTATATCATATATTGCACTAATCGCCAGCATATCATCAATGGAACACCATTTACAAAGTTCCTGGGATAGGAAGATCTACGAGTAAATACTGAATTCCAAAGCAACTGGTGTTGCAGATTTTCACGTATTTTGGAAACTTCATCAAAATTTCATAGGTTTTGATTAATATGCGGTTTAGATCTTTCAATCCACACATGTGTAACGCTTTTTCGACCAGGGATGCCACAATCAGTCGAACCAGAATTGAGGAATAAAGTGTTCCGAAAGTATGTGTGGAAAAGGGTCGACACTCCGAGACCTTTCTAGTTTGATGAGAAGCACTGCGTAACCAATGACTATATGAAGCAGATAGTTGACTAAAAAAATTCATCTAGAATGTACTCAATGAAACTGGGGAGGTCAACATCAGTACCAAATACATACTGAAGCATGTATTTCACAGATCTATTTACCGCTACAGATTGCTTAATTTATGATTACTAAGGGAGTGATGGGTCCTCTCAAACTATTTTACAACGCATTAGCTTCAATCCTGTATGTCTTCATAGAAAGCGAAGTGACCGTTTATTGGTTCTCAGTAACTTTGGTAATTATTACAATGTTAAATCCCTGCTTATTTTTGCATTAAAAACTTCCAAAGAAATCGTAGATTGTTTACGGCTGCAATTAAACGCAACTCAATTTCGTAAATGTGCCCTTCAGCTTAGCAACCAATCAGAATGAGGCGGGAATTATCACATCCGCCATCTTCGTAAGCAATGGCGGTCGGCTTTCTTCGTTCTGTGCTTCTTTCAGCTATTTCTTTTGTGTAGCTACGGAATTTGATGTTTCAGTGTGCTAAAATTCAAAAGTTAGTGTAATACTCTGAACGTGTGAGCAAAGTTTTTCCTGATTTTGCTTTGTTTTCTGGTTTTTATCTGCTGCTAATGAAGTCACTGTATTTATTCAGCTAAGCTGGCTAGTACTAACATAAGACCTTACGTTTTCAAACGACAATCGGTTATGTTTTACCTTGTTTTCTAGATATCCGAAGTCGAAGTTCGTTTTTATTTAGCTAAAATAATTGTTGCTGCCGCCTGTGACTCTAACTGTTCGCATGTTCGTTCCTAACTATCCTTTATGATGTTATCGGCAAAATGAAAGGAATCAATCTGCGTTTTTTTTAATTTTCTTCAGTATTATGGACAACACTATTCCACCAACGAGTCAAACTAATACAGAGTGCCCAGCAGTAGGGTATATCGGTACTGATTTCGAAAGGACCCAGACTTCCGACAACTATAGATGAAGTCACAGATGCTACCAATCTATTGCAGAGGGTTTGTTATGAAAAATATGCCATATAACAGTAATAGAGGGGTTGTACTCACTACTCAGTGCGTTAAAGCAAGCTTAACATTGAAAAGCCGGAAATCTGCTGCCAGTGTCTAGTGTATGTTTGCTGTTTTGGCCATAAAAGGTAGCCGATGGGTCATGATCAGGGAGTAAAAAGGTAATTAACTGTTATTAAGCTCACTTTTTTATAGATCGTGTTTCACCACTCGCAAATATGCGTTTTCTTACGGTATGATGTCAACTGGTACCTAATATGTTCACCCTCACGATGAAAAGTACCTGCAAATTTTCAGCTCCATGTTCGAATTATTTTTGGACAACTGTCTTACAGTCTGAGTGCTTCGTACGCCCCGAGAAACATTCGTAGTTCCAGTATAACTTTCTCACGCAGTAAGTTCAAATTAGACACTAGTCTTTATAAATAAGGCTGTTAATCTAATATCCATATTCTCTATTTCAGATAATCGATGAAGACATGTACCACGTGCGTCTGTTGTATACTGCCATTTTACTCCAATTCTAACTGTTGTATCTTACTTTTGAATAATAAAATTGCTATATGCTGCAAATACAGACTTATTTGTTTTGATGGAGGTAGGGGGCTCATGGGATTTTCACTAAAGAGCTAAGCGAGTGCGTAAACCAGTGTAAGGTACCATACGGGGTGCATTTGAGTTACTAGTGTTCCATAAGTGCGGGTAGGGGCATTGCTTGCTTGTCATATGGCATTTGAATTAGAAGCTATAAGATAAGACGCAGGTACGGTTAGGATGTGTGACGCGTGTCCATCCATCAGCTGGTGTGACAACCCATGGTGGTTAGAATAAGCTATGAGAGGACCCGAGTCTGTAGGTCTCCCAAGGAAATGACGAGGATATGCACCAAATCACTTAACCTATACTCATTACAGTATAGACGTCTTAGAGGTGACCTAATGGCTTACAATAACCTTACCACTTCTGGACATCCCCTAAAACACCTAATTAAGCTTAGTTCCAACACTAACCTAAGGGGTAACACCCAGAAACTACAGACACAACATAGCAGGACGGACTGTAGGCACAACTTCTCCTCCTTAAGAGTTGTCAAATGCTGGGATTTTCTGCCGGCCGAGCTAGTCCAAGCGACTTCGCAGGAGTCCTTTAAGAGGCAACTGGATTTATTCTTAAGGACTAAGTATAGTATCATACTATGATTTACCGACTTCTTTTTCCTCTTTTATTGTTAACATACCTAGGTTCCTGCCTTGAGGTATTGGTGATCCCCTGCTACTAGACACGGAAGCCTGTTAAGCGAAAGCTTCTTCTATTCAGTCCACAACCATTTGAACACATGAACTAGGTGTTGAGAGGCTCGCTTATCACAAGTTTCTTGCAACGATTGTGTAGATAAAACAAAGTAGCATTAGATTCAAAAATTTATTCAAGAACTTTCATTAAGAATCGAATGTCAAACAAAGGTTTTAACCAAGTTCCCGCTTAAAAGTTGTATTGGTAAAGTTAAGCTGCAGTTTTTGTTGTTTTTTTCCAAACGAAAGAGTGAAAGAAGTCACAAAATACTGGAAGTGGTTGTGAGACTAAAATGGAAGTCCAGAATCCTTTTTATCATCTGCTGTTCGTTGGATCTCCCGTAAACAGTTCCATAGGGCCATAGTTCTAAGGGCGAAACAGTTTTTATGATCTGTGAAGACTCACTCCTGTTGCATTCTAAATGAAAAAAGGGTGATGAATTTAGTCAGAAATGTGGAATATATATAACCAAATTACATATTTTTTAGCAAAGAATTTATGCAGTTGTGATTTACCTTGAGTTCATGAATATTAGATAAGGTCAGCTACTATTACTTGCGCAAAGCATAACATGGGCTTAGTACCGTATTGCAATGTTTTTATTATTTTGCTCCCATTTAAGTATTCCCATGCATCTGTGTCTAGTTTAACAGGACAACATACAAACAGAGTAAGTGTCTGATAAACTAAAAGTCCCAGTTGTCAAAAAGATTCTTAACCTTTGTCCACAGCCAGCTGCATTTAATTGAGACACAGAACACTCATCTTCTAAGACTGTATACTGCTGTTTTGCGGGCAACTAAAAGCTCAGACACTTAGCTATCTTGCTACCGATGTTATTGATGGGGAAATTGTTTAATGACAGTGATCATGAAATATGGTCAGTGATAGATGTACAGTTTAGAAATAAACACCAAACATACTGATCGCTATCTTATAATGTATGATATCATACATCCTATATAGCAACAGCATCAAAGGCACGTTTTTTCCTATTTTTAATCAGGCTGATCTGAATCCGTATACACATTGGAAACAGGCAACTCTACTTACTAAACTGATCTGTTTCGTTACAGGCTTCAAGCACTATACTTAATTATATCATAATTCCTTCAACTAAACTGAATTATACGACAACCAAGAAAATCAAACTAAGCAAGTGTCATAGTTATTGTTTCACTTGCAAAGACATGTTGCTCAAAGTAGGTAAATGGACATAATTAAGCCGATAAAACCAAAACACGAAATATAGGCCAGTTGAACTTACCACCCATTGTTTACAATTAGGCGATCGAATAAACCCAGGGTGGAATTTCATCTTTCTTAGATAGTGAAACGGTCTAACCTAATTTTCAGTATCGTCCACTCTATTGGGCACCCTCAAGGAGAGACGGATTGTCACTGGAAGCTGAGCTCCAATGGAAGCCGCACTTCCTACAAACTTTATTTCTGAAAACTAAATAAAGAAAACACAACAATTGATTTCGAAAACGATAATCACAATTTTTGAACTCTATAAGTTACCAAATAAGTCCTTTCTCGTATTTCTATTAGAATTTTTTGCTTTCCGTACACTTGTTTTGCTACACACAATGAACACGTTTGAGTAGTACGTTACCATGTGGGTTTGCATAATTGCAATGATTTTTGTTTCTAAAAATATACAGGAACACTACCAGTAATGCCCACAGTCACAGTCCTATCAAAGACGTATATCTTGGAACGGAATGCGGCAAGATATCTGAAGTTAATGAGTCGATCATTGGAAGGCGAATAGTACATGAAAAAAACTTTGGGACTATCTGTTATGTCGGTGAGTTGCCGAGATCGAAAGGGTCTTGGCTTGGAGTTGATTGGGATGACCAATCACGTGGCAGACATGATGGGACTTACGATGGTGTCCGGTATTTTCAGGCTAAATGTCCCACTTCCGGTTCATTTGTGAGGTGAGTAATAATATTTATTGATAAAAAGAAAGCTGTTGCCTTAAGCAGCAAAAAGAAAAGCAAAAATCCATAACTTCAAAGCGGTCTGTCACTAAAAGTGCAAAAATTAAGGACAGTCCAAACGTGACTAATAAATAATGTTTAGTCCGAGTGGGATCAGAAGTTTATGTTGGGTACTTCGGTTGTGACACTATACTATCCGATATGTTAATGATCCACGAACTGGTTCTAGTCTCCTTCTGGTTCGGTTTATTGTTTAGTGTGTTATCATTCACGATACATATATGCACTCCCAAAGGGTCTAGGTATGTAAGTGCACAGAATATTGGAGTTGGCTTTAAATGTCTAACTTTTGTTTCGCCGACCTATAATCTCTACCTTTGAAATCTGCTGAAATCACGGATGCAAAACGTGGCCATTAAGAGTAGTAGATACTCGTAAACTACTAGTATTTGACCACAGATGTCTTAGAAATATTGCTTGCATCTGCCGAAATCACTGGGTAGGTAGTAGTGAGGTTAGACGCAGGGTATTAGGGAATGATGGTAAAGCAGTCTGTGAGTTTGTATATCTTCATCGTCTGGAATGGTTAGGTCACGTGTTACGTATGCCTAAACATCGATTACCACGACGCGCAATGCTGACTAGTGTTGTAAACAGTTGGAAGAAAGTTGAGGGCGGCCAAATCGAAACGTGGCACCGGTCCATAAAGTCACTAAACTCTAGTCTGAGTCATGATGGCAGATGCAGACTACTTGGTTGGAGTCCGCGTGACTATCGTAACCAATGGTTGGAGACTGGGTGACATGGCTCAGAATCGATCACAATGGCGTTGGTGTATACACTATTTTTCTTCCTTTAAACCTTGAGATTAAAATCGCTTTATACGTTTCTTTGTACGAAGTAATTCTTTCTTCCTTATTGTATTTGTTTATTTATTTATTTTAACACATATTGGTACAAGAAGGCACCAAATACCTATGTGCCACACGAATCTCACTCGATATGTGTGAGGGCTGTGATACTGCCCGGGTGCCCAGACAGAAGCAGGTGGCTTTCTTAGGGGGCTGCACCCCGAGCCTTTGACCTAAAGGTCTAACCCACAAGTCAGTGGAGCATCGTGAGGAGATTCAGTCCCATGGTAGCCGGTGACCAGCAATTGGTTCATACTCCATTTGTTCCCGCAGGATAGTGGAGCCCATGTGCACCATTGATATGGAATCCGGTTAAAGCGCCGGACATTCGCTTTTAGTCCTCTCATTTTCGTAAACAACACCCCGGCTACGAGAATGCAATGAATAGGACTTCCCTGGCAGAGGTTGTATACGCGTGGCCGTGTGAGAGTATTTCGAGTGGAAAGGCGTACCCACCCCACTCTCGGCCATACCAGGGCATTTGGGGGCTGTGCTGTATTCCTTATACACAATCTTTTATATATTATTACCATTAAATTAACTACTACTATGAATTTGTTTTTCACCTTGTTGTGCTAGTGAGGTATGGCAACTAGGACCGATGCACATACAAGCCTGGTCCTGCGTTGTAGCTGACTTAGCCTCTTCCGAAAGTATATTCCTGTAAATCGTGTTGATTGAAGTGGTCATATAGAATTCTCGATATATTGTACCGGTTGTCCATGATCGATATTACTTTTTAAGAGGATTAGTACAATCAAACTAAACTTTATAATGGATATGGTTCTAAAAATATCAACCTGCAGACTTGGAATACGCAGTTGATACTGTTCTGTCTGATGAAAGCACTGACAAAATACAGAGTCTCCTAAACGTCTTAAGCAACAATGTATTCATGTTTGGGTTGTGATTCTCCACCTCCAAATGCAAAATGTTGCTTTAGGATTGGCGTGCATCAGCGACTGAATTTACGGTAGGGACTGACGTAGTTGAACGCACCAGTTGCTTTACCTATCTTGGGTATTTCATCACTCCTGATAGTCTGATGGCTGACAACATCTTGGCACAGATTTAGAAAGTTCGACTGACTTTTACCAACTCTCGTCGCTTTTGGTGCAGGCGAAATATCCGCCTGTCAACCAAAGAACGAGTTTACTGTGCAACAGTTTGCTCCATTCTACATTATGTATGTGGAACGTAGCGATTAAAAATAGGGGATATTCTCAAGTTGCTATTGTTCCATGATAGGTATCTTCCGAGCACTGCCCGTGTATTTTGAGACCACAGGGTAAGCCATGCCTGGGTTGGGAATGGAGTACTAGGTAGGGACGGTAAATCGATTGGTGAGGTATTAAATTTTCATCAACTGAGCTGGTTGAGACATGTGTTATGTATTCTCAACGACCATCTGCCTTGACTGGCGATGTTGTGTGGTGTAGTAGTAGACTGGAAGAGAGCTAGGGGCGACCAAACCAAAACATGGCATCAGTTCATGGAGTCGTTGACAATTGAACTGAGCCATATTAATAGGTGTAGAATACTTGGTTGAGGTTTGTGTGAGTATCTGAACGAGTTGTTAGAGTTTTTGCGATGGCACAGACACCCATTAGCCGTTTTCCTCCAAATTCTAGCTTATGAATTCCTTATAATCTTTTTGATTTCACTAATTTTTTTGCATCGTAGGTTTGATGCCTAACCTTTCCCATTATCAAAACCGAAGTAACTTCTGAATTTCAGTCATACACCTTCTAATTAAATATTGACTACTTGTACAATTGAATAATATCCGCATCATATCATCGATTTCGTGCTATTAATTCCTCACAGGTTTTTTTATCTCAGTCTTTTATAGTTTACTTTTTGATCTTTAATCTAGGTATTTGAGTATTTGTATAGTGAACTAGGGATATAATCATACTTTCGGTTTGAACAGTTGAAGAATATAGTAATCCCTGATACGGTAAAGATAAATAACAACATTTCGCTTCTTTATAAATCATAAAGATGACTTTAGTTCATGTCTATTTTTTGTTATTTTCCGTACACAGTCATGTTATAACTTATTTCGTTCTACTTCATGTCTTAATTTCAACTCGATAAACTCCGTTTATCCTATCCAATCATGCTTTTAGGCCTTCAAAGGTGTCATTGGGTACCAGTCTAGAGGAAGCTCTCGTATATAGATATGCCGTCTGCACAACTTGTCAACTGGAAATCCAGACTTCTTTGCGATCACGGGAAAAGCCCACAGGTAGTTCTCATAATATTCTCGTTCATGAATGCACCCAACTTGGTCATCTAAACAGTTACCTTGGTAGTACTGCGGAGGAAGCTGAATACTTTGGTACTCACGGATACCCAAAAGACACATTACGTGTCGAACTTTACACTAATCCTGGGACTTACCATCAATCGACTTCTCATGACGAATTATGTGGAGCAGATGCAGCCAAAAGTTGTCTCAGCCGATTAAATAGTGTTAGTTTGTCTTCTGTGCCCGTATATCGTGCACTATATGGAAAAAGTGACTTTTTCCCTGATCGACAACCTGAATACTCACCACTTTGGCCATCATCTGGAGGCTGTCTCGACCAGTTTTTATCCAGTTTATGCGATCTGGAAATGAGCAATTGTCTGTTGTCAAAGTGGACAGAAATTGCTGAGGTGTGTTTTGATTTTCATTAACACTTTGTTCATTCTTTCCTTCACAAAAGTTAACTGTGTTTATTTATCTTATTAGATTTGTATTCAAATTCCGTGGTTAAAATCCTTGAATGTCAGTAACAACCGCATTCGTTTACCCGTTTCTCCAAAAGAAGCGCATGATAAACAAAAAGAAAATGAATGTCTGGAATCTAGACTTTTATATGACATATATTCGGACCCTGTCCTAAGTGAACGGTTGTGTTCGAACGCTTTTCCCCAGTTGTCGCAACTTACTTTAGTCAAATGCTCACTCCTAAATTGGAAAAGTATTAGGCGGATATTATGTTGGATGCCATCCTTACAGTCGTTATCTCTAGCTTACAATAATGTAAGTAAATGTTTTCCTTGTGCTTTACTTATTCAAGTGATTAATTGTAATATATATTGTTCATTTAGCCTCAAGTATTAAATCCGTTCAACAGTGTTAATGTCTATTTAGACAGACTATTCAACTTAACAAATTTTGTCTCTGCAGTTTGTTTTAAAGATAGAATCTAAAGTGACTTAAGGGTTTTAATTTCTAATTTAATCAAATCCTAACGACTTTTTGTTACGTCAATCGTCATTCAACTTTCAGAAATTCCTAAGATTCGGCTTCACCTAATATTTTATTTTTGTGTAGTTACACTGATTTCTATATTGTTGACAAAGCCTTACGATTTCATGTTAACTTATTTACCAGTGTATTTTCGAAAGTTCATCTGCTTATGTAATTTAACCACTGACCTGACCGTCAACATAAGATTTTGCAACAAAGAAAATCATTCTATAATATGCCTCGAATAGTAAAAGTATCAACAGTGAACCACATAAATTCCAGTAAAATGGTAATATTTCAATTCCGAGTTCTGTATTTCGATAAGGACCGTTACTATCTCCCAGTCTAATACATGTGCAAATTATGGTAAAGAAATCCCTATATTACTAGAAGACTTTGAACAACTTTAATGTTTTGATGTAAATTTAAGTCTTAAGAAGCAGTTGTAAACTAATAACCTGCAAATGATCATAAAAAGTAATTGTCAGATTTGTTTTTATATTCCCTGCATCTACATCTAGGTAACGTGCTAAAATAACCACCCATAAACCGTCTACTTTAATGTACAGTATGAAAACAGGTATTAAGCTTCATGGACTTTAAAATAAAATAAAGTTGGTATTGAGCATTTCTTTACCCTATAAGCGTGGTCACAAACCCTGATAAAAAAAAGTCTTTGAGATTCGCCACTTTGTTGCTCTAAAGTTTTGTGTTTCTTTAAACTAAACAACATCCAGTCATCGTGTGTTTATGAAATGTTTGATTACATTTTAGTTGGGCAATCCTCCAATTGACTGGGAAGAAAGTGCTATTGAAGTTTTCCAAAAGTTGACTGAATTAGACTTAACTCACATAAATCTAACGTCCGCTCATCAGTTATTCGCCCTTATTGGAGCCTCCAAATGTCTGAACAGCCTGTTGTTAAATTACAACGAGATAGCAGACATTCCAAATCTAAATGATCATTCTAAGCACATCTGCCAAATACATGTACACGATAAAGATAGTTCACATCTGTTTCGAAACCTTAACACTCTTGGGTTAAAGAACAACTTATTCACAAATTGGAATTTCGTTAATCAATTACTGCATTTGTCCAAATTGGATCATTTGATGGTATCAGGATGTCCAGTTTTCGAAAACTCTGTCAGGTAAGCTAATCTAGTCAAGTCTTTTCTACTAGAATTATAAAACTATCTGGTTTGTTTTTACTTACATACTTAACATTTTAGCATTGAACAAAAAACTACTGTGGTTAGACTTAAGCTGCATTATTTTTTCTCATATATTCAAACAATCAGGTTAGGATTGAAAACTTTACTCATAAATAGTTAAAAATATACTACCAGAACTGTAGTTAATTTTACGGTTTATCGCCCAGTTACGTTTCGACTACAATTTTTAATGGATGATCAGGTAGTGAACGAGTTGTCCATATTTTTATGAAACTTCAGCATACAGTTACCATCTAATATGAAAGAATTGAATTTATTTCCATACGTTTAACAGTTCTAAATCCTGTCGTTCATAAATTCCATAAACACTAGTTTTAATTGTTATTTAACAAAGTATATACGCATTAATAAATAATGATACACCTTTTCCAAAACAACTTAATGGTTATTACAACTTGTTCACCATTAAGTTGTTTACAGCACTTCATTGTAAAATAAATATTCCTTTACATATTTCACTATTTAAAATCGCTTAATGATCTTCATAGAAATTATAATATGAAATCCTGTTCTATTTAAAAAGCTGCCATATTTGGAGTTTACCTGAATCCGTAATCATTTAAGTCTCAAGTTACTCCGTAAAATAAAAACTTAATAGCTTCTAGTTGTATCAAATATCCATATTGTTCAATCGCTTAGTAACTAGTATTTACAAAATACTTGGTTCAGTGAGGTGTAAAAAAGTCCGTCACACAAATTGGTCTGATAATTTCTCTTAAAAGTAAGTGAAGAATGGAAGCATAAGAATAAGCGAATCCAATTAAAAACAAACCAAAATAGATCTCATCCTCGCTAATAAATATTTTTCTGTTTTTCGAAAAACAGAGGAGATAACTATAACTGGATCACCATCGTCTTCTATATTGACCTGTTTGGAAGTGGCTTTCGTTACTAAGAATCACATGATATTCCTTACTTCACCTAGGCGCTCGTCACCAACAAATTATTACTTCTAAGAATTGCTTACCCATTGTTGTGGGCAAACGTATGCAATTTCTCTGAGATGAGTTTAATCGTGGTTTAAAATACTCATTTCTTTGAAATTAAAGTTCACAAGCATAGAGCTGAATTGGTAGTGTAGTGAACGAAGACATGTTGGGGATGACCAATTTATTGTTTAATGGGAAATTGCAGTGTCTTGGTAAATTATGGAAACCATACATTATATACATTATTTGCACATCATTCACTTTTTCTTTATATGCTTTATGATCCTTTCAATTCTGTTGTTACTATAATTGCTCTTTGTTGATATTCCTGTTCGCTTCAACTCAACCTTCTGTTGATAAGCATTCCACTTCTGTCTGATGTTACATACTACTTATACCAGTCAACATATTGTCCACTCGGGCCTTAATGGCCAGCTTAACGTTATAACTTCTCCAATGGTAATTTAGATCGCTCTACGGTTGCTTTCGTTACGTGTGGATGAATCTGGTTTGTCATACCAGCACTTATGCAACTATTAGTTAGAGTGCACTCGACCATTCCTTACGCCTCGCGAACAGGAGTGAATCCAAGCCCAGCTTCCTTCTAATCCTGTGGAAGAACTGTACACTTCGATTATCCAAGTACATCTATTATGGGTTAGTGGTCATCAAGTGATTGAATGTAATTCAGGTACCCTGCATCCAATCGCACAACAAGATGGTAACATCCGCACACTCAGTGTCAAAAATTACTCTTCTGGGTAACGGATTGACACCACCACATCTTAATCTCCTCAATTTTTTCCTGAATTCCATTAATGGTGAGATTGGATAATCCCGACCAGCTCCATCGCTGATTTGAAGAAGTGAAAAAAAGTTGTGTTACTATTCTATCTGAAATGAATGTCTTTGTCCGGGATTATCTAAATGTTGGTAGATTTATCAAATGCAATTACTTTCAGTAAGCTGTTCCAGAATACAGCCCTATGCAACAATCGTATTTAGAGGCAATATCTACAAACGTAACAGCTGGCTTCTATTTGTTCTCTATCTCCATATTTCCTCACTCTTTTTTATTTTACAAACAATTTATATAGTCACCCATCAATTCTGTATAAAGTTCATTACTGGTTTGTTGTTATTCTAGTTTCACTTGTCTATTGTAAGGCTGTAAAGTTTCATGAGTTCTTAGCTTCATAATAAGAAAGGTGATTTCACATTTGTTCACCCATCGTTTACTATTGTAGTATTAGTATTTCGACCGGTAATAAATGGGTTTTGTTCTCATAACACTTTTTTATATGTTATTTCTGTTTTAGTATAGAAACCGCTCGTCAGGAAGTCATTGCTCGTTTGCCAAATCTTAAAATGTTAGACCGTGTTGAGATTACTCCTGAAGAGCGCCGCGGATCTGAATTGGACTACTTAAAACGTTACGGAGCTAGCTGGCTAAACTGTTGTAAAAGTGATCAAAATAGTAAGCAAAATAACGATATTAAACTTTTGGAGGAATTCTACAAATTGCATCCTGTTTTCGCCAGACTTTGTGATAAACATGGAGCTCCTGAAATTGGAGAAACCAAGGTAGCATGTTATTATTTTTGACTTGTCCCCAGGTTGTTTTCTCTATGTGACAAAATAACTAAGTTGACCGCACAAAAATTAAGTGTGGGGGATAAATAAGATGAACTAGGCTAACTAGTTCAAAGATCATCGTCGTCCAAAATAAGGGGAGATCAATGAAATATAGGATAGTTTAGAAGCTTCAATAAACAACCAAACCGTTTAATTGTTCTGAGGTGTTTATGATAGTATCGAAATTGTATTTAGTGCCGAATTAAGTTGCAAGAAAATATGTTATTTCGCTTAGAATAAGGATGTAAATTCAAGGACATATGCAACTTTTATTCTTAAGTAATAATTCAGCTGTTTAAAATAACTCAATGGTGAATTACTGTCGATGTGTTTAAATTTAAAAGTTCTTCACTTCCCAGAGTAATGTATTGTTGTGGGAATTGTAAATCTTTTGCTTAAATATAAACTAAAGATCTAACACTGTTTAGTTATTTGATTACAGCATTGGTTTCAGAAGTTTCCGTTTGACTATGCGCATAATCAGTTTTCATTTTAAGCTACGTCACACACCTTATCTACTGAAATAACTTACCGATGATTGCATCACAAGACGTTTTCTATTAGAATATTTTAGCGACTATATGTTTTCTTTTTAATTTCCTTCCAAATCTCTTAGATATTTTTTCACTCAATGGGTACTTGAACCCCGCTTCACCTACTGAAAGCCCAAAGTAGATTCCAGGAACAACTAAGGTCACACTTCGGTAGTTCTAAAAACGAGGCTGACCTAGATGTTTCTTGGAAAGATATACAAACAGCAATGACATCTATTAGTGATTTGAACCATAAGGTTACAAAAAACCAGTTGATTTATTGTAAGTCTGGTCACAGTCACGGATCGTCCTAATATATAAGAAAGGATCAAAATCATCCTGTAATAACCATAGAGAGATTAGTTTGACCAATATAGCATCTAAAATGCTGGCCTCAATAAGTATCGGACGCCTAACTAAGACTCGTGAACTGCAAACACGAGAAAACCAGGCTAGCTTCAGACCTGGTCGTGACTGCATCGACCACATATTCATCATTCGTCAGGTTCTAGAACACAGGCATGTTTATCGGCGTCCGACAATGGTGGTCTTTCTTGACTTAAAAGCAGCATTTGACCCTGTAGACCAAGAGCTTCTGTAGCAGTGTGTCATTGAAAAGTGCACCACAGAAATACATAAACATTATGAAGGCTCTTTACTCGAACACTACTAATCGAGTCAGAGCTTATGGCGAACTGTCATCTGATTTTGCAACCTCAAGTGGTGTCCGTCAAGGCTGTCCACTTTCTCCATTTTTGTTTAACTTCACCATAGACATACTGATGGAAATAACGCTGGTCTACTGAATTTTCGGGCATTGATCTGCTACCAGAGGGTCCACTTATCGACTTAGAATACTCAGATGACATAGTCCTACTTGTTGAAGACGCTGATAAAATGCAGAGTCTTTTGGTAGCACTGAGCAACAATGCCAGAATGTTTGGAATGCGCTTCTCTCCCTCTAAATGCAAGTTGTTGCTTCGGGACTGGTCTGCGTCAAAACCTGAACTAAGGATAGGGAGTGAAGTAGTCGAACGCGTTGACAACTTCACTTATCTTGGAAGTCTGACCAGCCCTAATGGGTTGGTGTCTGACGAAATCTCAGCACGAGTTCAAATGCGCGTTTGGCTTTTGCCAACCTATGTCACCAATGGCGTAGGCAGAATATCCGTCTATCAATTAAGGGGCGAATATACTGCGCAGCAGTTCGTTCTATTCTACATTACGGCTACGAAATGTGACCATTAAGAATAGAAGATACTCGTGAGCTACTAGTTGGGGGCGGCCAAATCGAAACGTGGCATCAGTCCATAAAATCACTATATTCTAGTCTGAGTCATGATGGCAGATGCAGACTACTTGGTTGGGGTCCGCGTGACTATCGTAACCAATGGTTGGAGACTGTGGGTGACATGGCTCAGAATCGATCACAATGGCATTGGTGTATACACTATTTTTCTTCCTTTAAACCGTGAGATTAAAATCGCTTTATACGTTTCTTTGTGCGAAGTAATTCTTTCTTCCTGTACTGTATTCCTTATACACAATCTTTCTTTTATATATTATAACCATTGAATTAACTCTATCTATGAATTCGTTGTTCACCTTGTTGTGTTAATGAGGTGTGGCAACTTGGACCGATTCACATATGTGCCCGGTCCTACGTTGTAGCTGACTGAATGACCGTTTCACTTACTTCGGTTTGATTAATAGGATAGTATCATTAGCACTAAAAATATTCTGCATTGTTTTCTTTGTATTATTTAATCTTGTGTTAATTTAATTTGTTTTGTCGTTGACTCTGAAGAAGCAGCTTACATTGTCACGAACCGTCGGAAATACAATATCTCTACTCGTTGGGCCACAACAGCGAAAAAAATTGTTAAGTTTCTACCCAATGCTCACTTTATTTCAAACTATCAAGTCCAACCTTGACGTTGATACATACATCAATTTCTCTGTACCTTTCTCTAGTTTCTATTGTTATCAGCCTTCAGACAGTCTTAATTAATCTATTTTTATTATGATTTCCTGATTAAAGTTCTTTTTATTGCTACATCAGTATTTCCCAGGTTGGTTGTGTAGAGAAAATTGTCAATATTCCTGCATTATTGCACACAATAAACACTATATAATTGTAATTTATTATAAACGTGTCCTTATTTCTCTATGGGTTTGAACTGTGTCAAAGTAACTGAGCTGAAACACTTTCAATGACAGAGATCATTCATGAAAAAGTATGAACCAACCACTTGATTCATCTGTAATTGTTGTCCAAGTGTATCTACCTGAATCTATTTGTTAGTCTGATTATAGATATCAACGTCTGAGAGCAATATTAAGGTCATAAATAAGCAGTAAGATTTGATCGCTTTATTTTTTGTAAAATCTCTGTTATCTTTGTTGTTTACATATCTATTTATCTAATTTTTAGCCAGTTAACCGCTCAATTAAAGCTGGTCTTCTATCTCTTATCTTTATATTACAACATAACAAGAACAATGGCGCAACAAACAAGCCTAGCAGTCGATCGTCATCGCCAATGGATAAAAACGATCGAATTCAAAAACAAATACCTAGTCAAATGACTATTAACCATTTACGTATGATGATTAGACGATTGTTTTGTTTATCACCAAAAACACTGTTTGAATTATATGCACAAAGTGGAAGGCATCGTGGTATTGTTAACACTGAAATACCGTTGGATGTAGATACACGTGAAATAGGATTTTATAATTTAGAAAATGACGATTATATTTTTATACGAATATGACAATAGTGTTCTAGTCTTTCCTTCCTTGTATTTACTACTTGGTTATCTCTAGTATTTATCTATGTTGTATAATATATATCTTGATATTCCTAAAAATCAAGCTTGTATTTAATTATTTCTTATCCACTTACACTTTTATGAGTTCTGTTGTGTACATGACACATTGTTCCATCAACCAAGAAAGTGTAATTATGCGTAAACTTGAGATATTTTCTTTAAATTGACTGCTTGAGGCTACCAATTTTATCAAAGTTTGCTTTAAGCTTAGACTCGAATAATGTTGTTCAAGTAAACAGCCTTCATAAGGTTTATGTATTTTTGTGATACACCTTTCACTAAAAAGCGCTATCAAAAGAATTTCCAGACGTTCTTAATCATCCCTCTGTTTCAGAGCACAGTCTAACATAATCAATTGACGTATATCTGCTCGTCCATTTTTGAAATCAGTTTGATTTTCCCGAGTTTGCTGTTCAGGAACTTTATTTGAGATTTTGGTGATTTCAGACATTACTTTATTCAACTTGATTGTTCTGGCTACCGCGAGAGAATATCTTTCCTCTCTCTTAGATTGGGATCGGTCAAATGGGACTAGGCGCAGGTGTCAGATTCTAACTAACTTCTAAAACTAAACAGCCATTCTTAAATACCTCGAGTTAACGTATAAGATCTTTTCCGCTCTTCACTTCTAGTTAGCTTTTGCCTCTTTAAGTTTACTAATAGTCGGAGGCTTATATATATTGTCTGTTTGCTCTACTAAAAATTACATTATATGACAAGTATTGCTACCAATCTCGAACCTAATTCTGCTGTGTTTCTCAACACTTGTTTAAATATGTATTAACATAATTGAGCAGCTAACTCGCACAGTACTTTATATTTTAAGTATGTTGTATAGTCTAATTGTTAGTTTACCTGACTGTAAATTTATATATTTAGGCAAGACCGGAAACAGTAATGTTCCAAACTAATTTCTCTCACTTGAAGTTGCTTGTTACTTAATGTTGTATGCATTATTTATTTTATTCATGGATGTCACCTCTGATGCATATATTTATTCACTGCAAAATCTAACACTAATTTTCAAAAGTCAATTCATCTTAATCAATAATTGGTGAGACTATAGTTTATGGACGACCTTTGAGCGACGCAAAGTGACCTTGAGAGTGTCTGCCTACTTACTAGGGCTAAATAAGGATTATAAAGCTGTTTGAAGAATAAGAATTATGATTCACAGTTGAGGGTTAGGAATTAGATTTAGGGTTTTCTTCACGAACTGACATCAGCTTTAATGCCAAGACTATTTAGCCAAATCGGTGAATGCGTTTCGCGCCAAAATCTAAGACCTGTTATCGTAAATCTGATTGGTTCGTCCATAGATCATAGTCTCATTAATTAAAGAGTTTCCAAACTAATGCATCTAATAGTTTTATTTACATGACAAATGGTTCAAATCCTTACCTCTTTGTTTTAGTAATATGTTCGTTCAATAATCTTAAAAATATCGTCTAACTAAGTGTTCATCAGTTGTGTCTTAAATGTAATCACTTTTCACAACAAATTTATTTAATGTATCAAATTATTAGTTAGTTCTGTTCAGCTCCATATTAACTTAATTAAAGCAATCTACTTGTGAATTGTGTATCATCAAAACTTACCATATAGGTTTTTTATTCATATTTGATTTCATCTTCGTAGGTTTAGTAGCATATTGTTAGTCTTTTCATTCCGTTGATTATAATCAGGGAGACATGCAAGATGACTCGTGCACCATTCAAACGTTCGCACACTTATGCAGGTCGGACAACAGATAGGTCTGGCTATGTATTTGAAAAGTCTTAATATCGACGTTTGTTGTCTATCCGAGACCCGTATTCAGGACTCTGGTGAAGTACTACAAATTCGCTCTCCATCTGTCGCTTCAAAAAGCTTGTTTTGCATGCTTTTATCCGGGGACTTTGTGGCATCTTCGTCTGGTCTTGCTGTCGTTGGTGTCGAACTAAGCTCTAGAGCTGAGGCAGCACTAATCGATTGAATCCCCATTAATAGTCGGTTATGTGCTGTTAGATTAAAAAGTTCCATCAAAGTGAGAAGAAATCGGCGTGAGAAACGATGTCTTTTCGTCATCTCCGCCTACGCCCCGACAGATTGCAGCCCAGATGCGATCAAGGATGAATTCTACCACCAGTAAACTGTTCTCCAGAAAGTGCGTTCGATAGATATTATAGTATTAGCGGGAGACTTGAATGCTCAGGCCGGCCTCTAGGCACAGAAGAGAGTCGTTTAGGTGGCCGATGGAGACTTTTTGGTCCCAGGACGGATAACGGGGACCGTCTACTGCAACTATTCACGGACCACAACCAGTTTCTGGCTAGCACTAACTTTCGGCACAGTCATCGCCGATGTGCCACCTGGCGTCCTCCATCTGCATCTCAAGCCTGGACTCAGATTGATCACATCGCGATCAGCTACCGCTGGCGTGTTTGTGAACAAGACTGCCGCTCGTTTTGGAGTACCTGTCTGGACTTTGGTCATGCCCTACTCTGCGTCAATCTTACCTTACTTTTCAGTGAACAGCGAAGTGACCGCCACCAACGGACTGATGTTAGCAAGTTGGTTGCAAATAAGTATCGAACCGAGCTAGCCTCTAGGCTAGCTACCATTCCACCGAGAAGTATAGATGAGCATTGGTTGCAATTGCATGACGCCATGAAAATGGCGAGTAAAGCCGCTTATAAGCACTGGGTATCTGCAGGTTCCTTACAACTCATTAAAACCTGTCGGTCTACTCCGGGTGACCGTGAGTTTGACCATAAACGACTGTTTAGTAATGAAATTGACCGAAGTTTGCGTAAGGACCGAGAAGCCTGGTGGTCGAAGCGTACTAATGAGCTGGAAGCAGCAGCTGCATCTGGTAACTACCGGAAGCTCTTCTAACTCATCCGAGCCACTGGCAGCAAGAAGTCTGGTGTGAGTGAAACAATCTGCGAGGAGGATGGGATGCCAATCACTAACATCCATCGACGTCTTGGACGATGGGCAGAATTTTTCGAAGGGCAGTTCAACTGGCCTGCTGCTCCGGCAACAGCGGTCAGACTGTCCTGCCCTCCATGGCCGGTAACAACTGATCCACCAAATGAGGCGGAAGTCCGCAAGAAACTCCAACTCTTGAAACGCTACAAATCATCAGGCCCACATGACTTGCCTCCGGCCCTTTTTAAAGATGGTGGTGACTTTCTGACTAAGGAACTGACAACGTTGTTTACAAAGGTGTGAGAGCTAGAAAGCGTACCAACGTCATGGAATACGTCGATGGTTGTCCCTGTCTTTAAAAAGGGTTCACGTCGTTCCTGTAACAACTATCGGGGGATAAATTTACTCCCGATCGCGTCCAAGTTATTGGCTTCTGTCATACTTCGTAGGTTGTTCAAAACCCGAGAAAGTTTGACTCGCGAAGAGCAGGCTCGTCTTCGTTCCGGTCGAGGATGTATTGATCATATCTTCACCCTCCGCCAAATGTTAGAACACCTCCATACTTATCAAAGGCCAACAATCGTAGTGTTTCTTGACACTAGGGCCGCCTTCGATTGGTTGAATAGGACTGTTCTCTGGGATTGTCTATTGAAGAAGGGTGTGCCTGAGAAGTTTATCAACATCTTAAAGGCCCTATATATAGACACTTCAGTCAGATTGAGGACATGCAACCACCTATCTCCATCGTTCCATTCAGGCAGTGGGGGCAGGCAGGGTTGTCGAATCTCACCATTCCTCTTCAACTGTGCTATCGATGATTTTCTGGAAACAGCTCTGATGGATGTAGGTAGTGGTAGTGTGGATCTGTTGCCTGACGAAAAACTTCAATTTTGAGTAGGTGAATGATATTGTCTTACTGTGCGATGATACCTTAGTCATGCAATCCATACTTAATCACTTGGCAGTCAGTGTCCGTAGGTATGGCATGTGCTTCGTACCTTCTAAGTACAAATTACTTCTACAAGACTGGCAGAATTCCAATCCTACACTCACTCTGGATGGTGAACAGATAGAAGTAGTCGGGAAGTTCGTGTATCTAGGTAGCTGCATAAGTGCTGGTGGGGATGTGAGTGATGAGATTAATGCACGTATAGTGAAAGCCAGAGCGGCTTATGCCAATCTAGGCCATCTTTGGCGCCTTCGTGATGTCAGTCTGGCTGTAAAAGGTCGGATCTACAACGCGTCATTGAGAGCAGTTCCGCTCTATGCTTATGAGAACTGACCTGCCCAAGTTGAAAATGTTAGACGACTCTGTGTTAGATCGTCGTTTTCTCCGAAAGATTACTGACATCCAGTGGCAACACCATGTTAGTAATGCAGAGGTCCGGCATCGTGTGTTCAGGCACAGTGACGATAATTCAATTGGTATCACTATCTTGAAACATCAACTTCGGTGGCTTGGACATGTCCTACGAATGTCACCTCAGAGAACCCCACGTCTTGTATTAATTACCTGACGCTGGGAATGGTTGGAAAAAGCGGAGAGGTGGTCAGTGTATGACATAGTGTCGTGGTATGAAAGAAAGCTGCAATGGGCTGACTTCTGTTGGTCCTTCACGACTCCCTGGCTGGGGTACGAGAGATGGTGCAACACAGTGGCTAGAGACGTTATCAGATATGGCTCAGAATAGAAGCCAGTAGCGATCGTGCTGTGTCCTTCTTTTACTTTCTTCATTTAAAAAAATGGTTGTGTCTTCCTTAACTGAAAGATTTCTTCTGATTGTACCTTTCCGTTTCCCCCATTATTATTATTATTATTATTATTATTATTATTATTATTATTATTATTATTATTATTACACCACCTTACACTAATCTGGTCGTTATTGTTCTTTTTTTTTCTTCGAATTCTCATTGTTTGATGTGGTGCATATATATTTGGTGCCCTCTTGTACCAACATTTATGTGTTCAAATAAATAAGTACCATTGTTCATTTCTTACATCTCCGGGGATTCACTTCGAAACAGTCACTGAAATTTCATAATTTGTCCATTCTCTGATTAGGCGTGATAGTTTTCTCTGTTTTACCCGGACTAATTCTAAACAGCATAGCATCTTCCCCAAGAACCAAGTCATTCATTACATATCAGTTGTTCACTAAATTAATAGTTTTAATAAATGAATAATATCGCTAGTCATTAAGTGAAGTCACTTTAATGATTATTGAAAGCCAATCAACATCCAACCGCAACCTTTATACTGAGGTCTTTGTCAAACTTTACTAATTGCGATTCGCTATACGGGATACAAAAAGGTACAATCAGCGACATCATGGTGGCCGGCAATATGCATTGAAACGAATGAACTTTAATCAAATGTGGATTACCGAACTCCTAACATCTAACTGGTCATCATTCAATATTTATCGTCACAATCGATCAAGGTATAAGAAAAGGAAACTTGTTGAAATACTTTATGCTGAGAATTCTATGTTGTACCAAAAATATAATGTTGAATAAAGCTTCTAATAATAATAAGAAGAAATCAGTGTCACGTATTTCTGTGAATTCCGAAAATGGGGTAAGTTATATACGTA